TCCCTTGTTAGCAAGGGCAAGCAGGGCAGCTCTCTGAGCTCCCGCTACTTCATGTTTGTGTTGCGAAAATTTTCCTCGAGCGGTCTTTTTAGTTCTGTCTTTCCTATTTGGGTGTTGGTAAGCACAGCATTGAACAATGGAGGGACTCTTCTCGGTTCTTGGAAGGAAGGTGTGTGTGTAGGTGGATACCTACTGAGAGTACAGAGTATGTGACGCCGGACCTTTTTGTCCTGTGTTATACCCACGTGCTTCGTTGGGGTTGAGGACGTTGTCTTGAGTGTCGTGGAGATGTTCCCACCGTTTTTATGAATGTAAACAATTGTGTAAGTTTACTGGAGCGTGATCACCTACTTGTTGTGGCCACGGGTTGAGGCTTATGGACGAGAAGTCAAAATTACCTTTCGCCACAAGCAGCACCGTGTGCTTCCTGTAGCTGCTCTTACGCGAGCTTCTCGAAGCAATTTGTTGCTGAGGGCTGAGAACAATTGGCAATTGTAGTGTAAAGTCCGGAACCTCTATGGATTATGACGTTGCGCCAAAGATAAGCTTTTCTCCCCACGGAAATTCTTCTCGATGCTACACCACCATGCGTACCTGCCATTCGGTCAGTGCCTGAAAAGAAATAATGACACGACTTTTTTTACCCTTTGATCCGTTCAGTCGACTGATAAGGAATATAAGCCGCGCGTAATACGGCTACCAACGGTATGGATCGGTACTGTTAGATGGTTCCTCAACACACCGCACATGTAATCCCTTCTACTACTACCCTGGTCTAGTCTTCTTCTCCAGACAAACTGCCTCCTCAATTCGGATGCTGGATACAACAACAGCTTTCGATAAACTTTCCGACAGATGGAGTTGGTGGAGACATGGCCTGTCAATGTTACAGTACGTTTACCATGGCCGCGTTACATATCTGTGACCTGACTTTTTGTGGAAGCGCCAGGAGCGCCACAGCATCATGAGAAGAGCCGAGGCCTGCCACGCTACTACCTAAGCCCACTTTCGGCGCAAAGAACAATTCCAGAAGGTCGTTTGTCCGTTCTGTCTTGGCTCGGAGAATCTGTAATTTACCGAGCGAAAGTCTTTCAGTGTCATTGTCCTAGGGATCTGGAATCATCTCGTGCTTGTCCAACAGGACTATTCTTTTTGTGTCCTTCTTCATCGAACACCCTATCCTACTCGCTTGGTTCTCTGTGGCCGGGTCAATCAATGGGCAGGAGAGCCGAGCGCCGCTTGACTCAATACTCACATCTCAGAACATGTGCCTCTACAATCACACAGGCGTGTCTTCTTTGGGCTGCCTGTAGTGCGGCACGTCTGGTCAATGTAGAATAACTAACTAGTGAACGCATTAGCCGGCCTCATCATCAATCTCACTTTTCAGAGAGCTTTGGGCTACAGGTCTGCCCAGGCCTAATGCACCCCGCATTCATGCCCACCACTTCAGCAAGAGGATGGTGGAGCCCTTCATGTTTGATGTCTTTTGAGTGGACGGGGGAGTCAAAGGGATGGGTGGGTGGTGTGAGGCTTGATATCCCACGTGGATCGATCTTCTCTTGTTGGGGGTGCAACCCATCCAGTGGTAGGCCAGTAGGCTCAGGTTTCTCTTTGTGTTAGAACCTGTTGATAAGATTGACGAGACAATTGACAAGCCTTCCACTTGGTTTTGCTAGATAACGACGAAGGTTTTTTTTTTTTTTTTTTTTTTTTTAAGTTATCTTGGTTGATGCCGATCACTTGTGTTAGCGTGGTGTAGGCGTGGGCGAGGAGAGTGGTTGGATGATATGCATTGTAAATGGGAATTATCTCCGGAGTAGAAGGCATGTATCCCGGCGCCTGTCAGTGTTGAAGTGTCCGCGCCGTCTTCTACACTACATGCAATCCAGTCCTAGCTTGTTGGTTAGTCTGGTACAGACTTCCCAAAGCTTTACTAGTTTGGGGGATTCCAGCTTTCTATTGGGTATTGTCACTGTTGAAGGGTTATCTTCCAGTCTTGAAGGCATTGGAGTAGAATGAAGCAACAGAGGACGACTTATTAGATGCTTCTGTGGCGTTATAAATTCTTGTCATTATCCCATGTCACCCCAAACTGAGGACAGTCGCGGTTTCTCTCTTAAAAGGCCAACAAGAGCTACAAAACTTCCCTATGCAACCTGATCAAGGTACCAAACTAACAAACAACAAACAACAAACACATCAATACTGGATTGTACTCTACTGCTGGCACTTACTACGTTAGCGCAGTACCGCCGATTTACAGAATATAACTTGGTGGCAGCAGACATACCCAGCATCTTTTGAAGGTAAATAAAGTTTTCGCCACTTGCGATTTCACCGCGCTAACGAACAAAATGCTTGCAGAGGTGTATTACTCACCCTTGGTATGTAGTGTATGTGTTATTGGGGGTGGGGCATCAAAGAACCGGCATTTCATGGCGGCGTGTGGGGTGCAGGATTGCCAGTGTTATCGCCTTTGTTGTGTCGTTCGTTGACGGTAATATCCCGGAGTCAAGGACTGCGCAGCGCCGAGAAACCTCACCGCATCTACGGACCCATCATTTCGGGGAATTCTTTTGAGAAGTTGGCGGCTGGGGACGGAGGAGACTCGACCGATGCCGTGTTGTCCGGGTGGCCGCATGTCCGCATGTTATGGACCCCGAGAATGGTGTCGGGATTCGGTAGTGATGCATGATTGGGGAAATCTTCGAGAACATCCAGGGTCCCCGAATCTCGGGGTAAGTTTGAGAGATTTTCGAGCCTCGGCGGCCAATTTGGCGCTCTGGGCGAGGGAGAAAAAAAAAAAAAGAGAAAGAAGCCATACGAGGTCCACCCATCTTGTGTCATGGAGAACAGCGCAAATTTTGACGTGCATTTTGTTTCACGGCAGCGACAGATGAAGGCTACGGGTTAGTCCCGGAAGGGCTAGACCATCGAGAAAGTACGTGTATACTTCCCGAAAACGGCTGATATCAGATTCATGTGTAATTGGGCTGCTACAGTAGACAAACAGCCATCCACGAGGCTGGTGTCTGACTGTCTGCACAACTCCCAAGGCTCAGCTGGGCCTTTCTGCGATGTGTCGATTCCCAGACCCGTGGTGTGCAACCCCAACAGATTGCGCAGCCGCCGGATCCGAAGGCTGGGCTGGGGGCAGCGGGCTTCTCCAAACTTGCGCGCTCGACGGTGGCCGGAATTCTCAGTCCGCCAATTCGTCGGCTGAGCTGCCGGACGAACCCACTTGGTCAGTCGCTCCGCTTTTTGCAGTGATCCGCTCTTGTCTCGGTCCTCCACAATGTTCGAACCCCGAGTTTGGAAGCGGCACAAATTCGATTCGTTGCGAAAAGGGGAATGTGCGCCCACTTGCCGCGGTTCAACGACGACTCTTCATTTTGCTGTAAAGTCAAAGGTGTTTGTAGGTAGGCATCGATGAAGCTGAGCTAAGACAGATTTCGATGAAGCGCGATATCAAAGTAAAGAGTCTGTCTCACCTGCTGCGCATTGTCATACCGATGCAGGACACACGACAAGGTGTGTTCGCCCGAATGACAAGAACGACAAGAGGCGGAACCCCCACAACGAGCGATACCTGCTGGACGGGCCAAGACAGGCTTGTAGAGGTATTCTCGCACAAGCCCGCCCGCCGCCAAGTACCCTTTGATAGAGCTTCAAGTCGTATTAGGCAGGCCGGAGCCCTCCGAGCAATTTATAGTCGATGAAGAAAGATATCGATGGCTTCCTGGAAGACGACCTACCTCAAATGGCCTTTGCTTGGAGAGACTGACGAAAGACTGGCCCAAAGTAATAACTTCATGATGGCACTCTGGAGGTTATAAGACATACATTCACTCCGTTATCAATTGGCAACGATCTGTCGCAGTGCGATCGGTAGATACCCATGTAGTACATGCTAAGATGCTTGGCTGATGTCTTCCAGGCTTATCATGTCTTCTTTTTGCCATTTTTGGGCCTTGGGGGTCTGTACCACGAGACCACGAAGCGGGAGCTGGAAAGTCACAAAGCTGGGCGGCGACTGGACGTGTTACACCTCTCTAGCTCATGTGGAAGGGAGCAAGATAGTTGTCCGACACCATGACAGGCCAGCCATGTCCTCCCCCCGATGTGTCTTATCAGCTGGTGTCCACCATCATGAATCGCCGACAAAGTTTATGTATCAAGGTCACGGCGGCCTTGTACATATGAAAGTCGATCTGGATTTTCGTCCGTGTCTGTGTGGATGCGACTTTCGAAACTTGGCCGGCCTTTATTTGTTCTCGACATAGGTTGCAGGCAGAGATTCAATACGACACGCTGACTGATCACCAAGACCGACACTGCACCCGACCCAATTACTACCCCCTGCCAAAGCAGTACAGGTTCATAGAGCATGATAGGGTAGCGACAAGCCACACCTCAACCAACCCAGGGACTGGTTGGGCATTCGCTTGGATAACTGGAAACGAGATCACGCTGCAGGAAGACTATCTGAGTACTTCTCGTGAGACCTTGATACCCAGCACCCGGTGTGGTCTTCCAGGTGACGCCAACGAGCTGCGCCAGGCAGGCAGAACCGAGATAAGTGTAAGAGGCGAGCACTCCCATCCAACTTGGGATTGATAAGAGATCCCACGGACTGGCACGTCACGCTCACTCGACCTTCGGCCTCTTGCACCGATCTCACCTCCCGTCTGCAACTCTTAGCTGTCAACAACACCATCTTTTCGACTCATCCTTATTTCCTACGAACCGTTTGCGATTCCTGAAACTGGGGGTAATTTCCGAACCCAATCGATCTCGAGGAAAAAAAAGGGTCCCGAATCGGTGGATCCCGTTAGAAGCCACCCCGTCGTGGAACCTTCCAATCCGGACGCACTTTTACGTACTCGATTGAACCCTCCGGCGTCGTCTGGCCCCCCTGCAACGGCAGCAACAGCACCGACAAACACGCGAGCCCGGCACGCACCTAATTCCCATCCAATCTGGTGTTCAATCTGTTGAGTGTCCCACTGAGAGAAGCCTCGCCAGGGCTCCAGCGCTCCAAATCGCCTCAAATCCCAGCGCCACGGGTTGGCTGAGAGTGTACGGGCGTGTGGCCCGAGAGGTTCCCGCCTTCTGTGGTACTTCTGTCAGGTTCCTGTTCCCACCGGGCAGTGACACACACACACCCGCCATTGGCTGCCACTCCATGTTAAGGCAAAGCTTGCGTCTACGCCCACCTTCCCGTCCTTTACAGGTATTAATGAAGCGCGCCTGCGCCGATACCTCAGTTCTTCATCATGATCACTGCCTCTTCGTTCCTTATCTCGCGCCAGCGGCAACCTCAACGTCATTCCTCCCAACCCAAGCAGGAACTCGATAAACAAACAACAAAACCTCCACATATGCATCTTCGCCCACCACTCTCGAAACTCGACCACTTCACAATTGACCCAATTGTGGCAACTCCTATCAAGACATCGGCACCATCTCCTTCTTGGCACCCAGAAGCAGGATCCCTTCGTGTTAAGGATGCCCAGGAAACACCACGCAGATACGTTAACACCGACAACAACACTACGAAACCCGTTATTGAAATGCCTTCTACCGCTTCCTACGTCCAGGCAATGCCCTCAAGCCCTGTTCAGATTCCCGTGAGGCCGAGGTCGCGCGACGCTGCCCACCAGCAGAAGCAGCGTCGCCACCATGTTGACCGGAAACATTACTCGTCGCCCCGTCCCAGGGATGTGCACTCCCCCGATGCTATTCCACCCTCGGTGGCCGCCCTACTTGCCATGACGAGCATCCCAAAACCAAGGGCTGCCCGAAGCGCTCGTCAGGCCAAGACTCTTCGGGAGAGGAGGATGACAGTTGATGCCATCATTGCCCAGTCAAATGAGTCTGAGAAAGAATTCAGTCTTTCCTTGGGTAACAAAGGCCCTTTGGACCTGCTTCTGACACCACCTGAGCTCCTGGAAGACGATGATTCTTCCTCTATCAGCGATAGCAACATCGGGTCTTTACTCTCGTCCAGGACTCTCTCTTCAGACTCGACGCCATCGCTCAGCGATTCTTTCGACACCGATACGCTTTCGTCAATGGAAACATCCCCTGCACCGCACAGGAGACGCAAGATCCACCCAACCAGACGGTCGTTGGAGCCCGTATCATCCCCCACGGGAGAACTGGAGGGCCACCCATTATCATCTCCCGAGATTGTGGATGACGAGCTGGATTTCCGCGTTTTTAAGGACAAGCGCGAAGAGGTGGAGGAAAAGAAGCACTCCAGGCTCGGTTTCAGACCCTTCAAGTCGGTATTCAAGTCGAACCTTACTGCGTCATTGCGCGCGCTCCGTCAAGCTGCCAAGTCCTTTTCGACGCTCAACTTCCCGTCCATTCCCCCAGAGGACTTCCTTACCCGATCGATCTTGACACTCGACCCACAAGTCCCCTTTACCGATGAACGCAGGCCTCCGCTGCTCGAAGAGGAGCCGACAGCCGCTCTGCGTCGCTACCTTAACCCGACTACGACGGTCCGGCTGGAGCAGCCTTGCTCTGCCACCCAAGCGCCAACTACCAAAGTGTTCACGGCGTCTATTCAGATGCAGACGTATAGGGTCCAGCGAGCCCGGGGCTCCTCTGCTTCCTCCGGTCGGATTCCTTGCCCATCTGTCGGTCTCTCATCCACGTCGCAAGCGCAGCAACCTTCCAACGCCAAATCCGAGTATCCTATGCCTGGACCAAGACAGCGCGAGATGCGCGAGAACTCTGATTTCATCCGCATTGCGGTTATGGAGATGGCCATGCGGAAATGCGGCAAGCTTGATGATCAGAAGCCAGGCCGAGCTCGGTGGGCGCTTCCTCCCCGTAAGACGAGCACGAAGCCGTATGTGGTCGGCGCTGACGGGGTGCCTGCTCGATGGGTCGCCGTCACTTACACGTGCTAGCTACATAGCTGGCGCGTCTTAAAGATCCACCAACACCAGACCCCGACGCATAAAACATGTCTGGCTCGAACGGGAACCAATGCTCTCCGCATTTGGTCCCAAGGAGCTAAGAGCAACCTTTTACGTCACATTTTGCCGAACCCCTTCGTCCCGACTGACAAAGTCTTACTGCCATGCACGTTTCTGCAGCGCTGTCGGCCACCTATGTCCTGCACCTAGTAGGGGTATGGTCATTGCTCGATATCCACCGGCTCACAGCGAAATTGGCGGGCACTATTTACCGCAATTGAAGTTGGATAGAAATTCTCCCCATTGGCTGCTTGGGTTTTCCTTTTCGGTGTCAAGAATTCGATCGGCCGCCGCCGCTCTGGGATGGCGGACAAGCCCCCCGTTCACTATGCGTGGGAGTGGGTCCGTCAACTCCCACTTTTTTGCTGTCACCAAGATGGTTCGATGCTCTTCGACATGCACTCGATTGAACTCCCGGGGGAATTAAAAACTGCATGCGGACAGATCGATTGTTTGTTGCTCATCGCCCGCGGAAATTCAGTCCAACGTCCTCCGATGAGCCACCACGCGACAGCAGCCTGATTAAAGTCTTCTCGAGCCTTCGGGATTTTCGGCTTTAGGCGTTTGTTCGTTGGTCGAGAACAGTGGTGCGGCAACCTGGAACACAATGTGGCCTTCGGCATTATTACCCCTTCAGGTGTCGGTCATATTTTTGCCGGAAACCCACCGTGTACATTTCTCTATTTTTTTTTTTTTTTTTTTTCTCATCTTGTGTTCTCCAGCATTGCATCGTTACATACCCATCTCCTTTCCATTGTTATACAATGCTCCTCCCGCCTTTTTGGATAGGACGAAAGGGGACAGCATTATCATCATCATTATCATCAGCGTTATTCTAGCATTTTGTTATTACCTGGCATGGCATTTGGAGAGGCGTTTCAGAACTTGGTTATTGGATTTTGGTTGGTGGTTGGTCCCAATTGTCTTGGACACGTCGAGAAATGAGATACCATCTTCGCATACATATGGGTAGTCACCTTTGAGAGGGTTGTGAAGAGCGCACACGTAGATACATATCTATATTACCATATCTATCCAACCATTCAATGTTTCATGGTCTCTGAATTGTCGCGATATCGTATCGACTACTTTTTGTTTTCTTCTGTAGCAACTGAGATCATCATTTGTCCTCAGTTCAGGGTAGCTGTCCAACCTACCCCATTTTGTCAGGCACATGAACAAGCTCCCGTTCCTTGCGATGTACGGTGGCAACAAATGATGTTATTCCCCAATCTGCGTCCTTCGTGGGACGACCCGTGCAACAATCCCTTCCTCCCTCCCGACGATCCGTGTCGGCATTTGTTCCTTTATCGGTCGAAGGACATTTGCCTCTGGTGTCATTCCGGCTGCCTTCTGATTCATCATTGCTTTTGATGTTACGGAATGAATTGCTTGGTTGGAAATATTCTTGCGCACACTTGCACGACAGCGGGAGGATTGGATGTGCCAACTGCCAGATTAGGTTACGATCTTCGGCTATCAGTTACAAAAAAAGCACTTCAGTCGCACACCTCACCTCTCCTATGTTTACGATACATCCATCTAGCTGCTCTGTCTCTCTCCAGCCAAAGGAGTCCTTCAGTCATTCAGTTAGTCGGAAAAAAGTACATGAAATCGGATTTTACTCTGCATTGGTTGTTTATCACATGCCGTTATCGAATGAATCAGGGTGAAGTGGAATGAATGGAACGAACGGATTCAAAGAAATGAAGAAAGGAAGGAAGGAAGGAACCTGCTCCATGTAGTGTATGTACCGCCTGCCTTACCTACTACCACCAGTGAGTGGCACAAATGTACCTGAAAGCCTCATTCCGATGGTCTGGTTTCTGGGCGGGGGACACTGAATGGTGCTACTGCTACGGTTACCGCTGTATGTACAACGGCGAGAAGGAAAAGGATTACGACCAGAGGCTGCGCTGTACCGCTACGAGAATAAATGACATTGATTGATTGGTAGGTACTTGTGCTCGCAACCCAACGACGTGGAAGCAGGAAGAGAAAAGATAGAAGGCACTGTATAGGTAGAATAGAGCACAGTCATCGAAAAAGGTTTCGTTTCTGAGAGGTCACTACAAGAGTGGAAGCAATGTACCAGGTATATACCTCGCACGAAACAAGCAGTACCTAGGTTACCTTATCTTTGACAAACAGTTCTCTGCCCGATTGGAATATGCAGGGTGAACGGATTGATGGATATCTCGCGCCTTGAAATGTTGTGGTTGACGGAAAAAAAAAAAAAAAAATAGGCAGCGTGGAGAGAAAGAGAGGGAGTGCAATATCTACTTCTTACACAAGTCATCACCATCCGACACGTCGATGGGGGATGAACGTCATATCGAGTTCGATTACCTAGATCGTTTTGAATGCAATTACACAGCCGTGCACATTCAACCCCGGTGTAAAAAAGCAGTGAAGACCAAAAATATATGAAATATTCAAACATCAGGCTTTTTGAAAACAAAAGACAACCGAACCCTATATACAAAAGTTACTACAAAGGCGCCTGGGCATGCTCTCCTTTTTTCCTGCCTCTCTATAAAACGTGGACGGGCGGCTGGGGTGGCGGCAGAATCCCAACCCGTCTTCTTCTGCTTCCCGGTAGGTATAACAGCTTATTTTGAACCAAACAACCAACCGTAAGAGGGATATCATCTCATGACATCTACTCCTCATCTCCGCTCTCCTCCTCCTGGGCCGCAAAAGCAGCAGCAGTCTTCTTCTTCTCAGCCGCCGTCCTCGCCCACTCCTGTGCCTTGGCGCTGACTCTCTCCCTGCTCTTCTTATCACCGTTCTTCTCCTCCCACTGGGCCCACCTCCTGAACCAAGCCTTGGCCTGGCGGGGCTTGAGGCCCTTGACCTTGCTACCGCGATCAAACAGGTCGCGGATAACGCCCTTGTCAGCGTCGGCCGCCGAGGTCTCGAGGTCGATGAGCTGGTTCCACAGGTCGAACTTCTTGGGGTAGGTGGCCAGCAGGTTCTCGAAGAGGGTGCGGCCCTGCTCCTTGTCGCCGTTGGGCGAGCGGAACTCAAGCGCGGCGAACTTGGGCAGAAGGGCGAGGTACATGTGCGTCTCCTTGCCGAGCACCTGGGTGGCGCGCTTGAGCAGGGCGCGGGCGCGGTCGGGCGAGTGCGCGGTGGTGTGCAGGAAGTGAGCGTAGTTGACCCAGACTTCGGGGGACTTGTAGCCGAACTCCTTGACGATCTTCTCGAAGAGGTCATCGGCTTGCTGTTTTAGGGGAATTATGTTAGTGATTCTGTAATCATAAGGATTTTATTTTATTTTAGGGGGTGGGTGCTTACCTTGCGCTTGCCAGATTGGATGTAGATACTGGCCAGACGCTCATGGACCTCCTGCTTGTCGTTGTATGTGCAAGCCCGCTTGAACACCTCGTCGACTGTCTCCTCATTGCCATAAGCAACCTCCAAGTTGAGATAGGCAATCCAGACGTTCAGCTTCTCGATCTCCTCCTTGATGTTGATCGTTTTGATGGCACGCTCAGCCACTTGTCTGGCAGCGGCCAGATCGCTTACCTGCATTTGGAAGGCCATGTACGCGATCCAGAGCTGGGAGGAGTTAGGCTGACCAAGAAGGAGACGCTCGTAGTCGCTGGCGGTTTGAGGTCCATCGACATCGAGCGAGGCAGTCTTATCGACCGTTACCTGAGGCTCGCGGCGAGCCTTCTTCTTCTTCTTGGCCAAGGCCTCAAGATCCGCCGCAGAGGCATCGGCCTTCTCGCCATCCTCCAGAGAAGCAGACCAGTCGAAGCCACCGGCCTCAAGACCCTTGACATCAGCGTCAACCATCTCGACATCGCTGGCCTCATCCTCCTCTTCGGACTCGTCCTCGACGTTGTCGGTACCAGTAATCTGGACGGCGTCGTCGGCGTCGCTCAAATCCTCATCAGAGTCATCGCCCTCACTGTCCTCGGCATCCTCCTCATCAACGTCCATCTCATCCTCATCATCCTGCTCGCCGAAGTAGGATGGCTTCAAGCCAAGGTTGATTCTCTTGGCAGTTACGTCCACCTTCAGGACCTTGGCCTTGACCTTGTCACCTTCCTCATACAGCTTACGAGCATCCTTGACGGTCTTGTCAGACATCTCGCTGCGATGGCACAGGCCAGAGAGGTTGGCGGAGCCATCGATGTCGATGAAGGCACCAAACTCCTCGACCTTGCGGACGCGACCAGTAATGGTCTGGCCTTCCTTTAGGTCGGAGATGGTGGTGAGGGGAACGTAGTCCTTGTCGACAACAGAGGGCTTCAAGCTCATCTCGATACGGCCGTTGGCAACAGAGATGATGCGCCCCTTGACGAGCTGATCAACCTGAAACTGCTCCTTCCAGTACTTGAGGTAAGCATCGGAAAGATTCTTGATCTGGACGAAGGCGGTGACATTGCCACCGAGAGTGACGAAGAGACCCTTGTCAGAGACGTTCTTGACGAAACCACGGACAATGTCGCCAACTTCGAGCTTGGTGTTCTGAGTGATCTCCTTATCCTTGACCGGAAGCGAAGAGTTGAGGATGCGAGAAGGTCTAGTAGACAGACGTATCCTCTTGTTGCTCTTGTCAACTTCGACGACAGCAACACGGACGATCTCGTTCTTGGCAAACTTGGCAGGGTTGGCCTCTTCGTAGTCATCGACAAGATCAATCTTATGAACGGGACCAGCCAGGCTCTCGCTAAGCTTGACAATGACCTGGCGTTCGTCCACCTTGGTAACCTTGCCGACAAGGATGACATCCTGCGCGATCTTGTCCCAAGTCAACTCGTCCTCGGAACCAGGAGATCTGGCAGAGAGATCGAGGCGCTTGGATTCGGCATCCACAGAGACGACGCGGACACGGAGGGCCGAGCCAATAGGGAAGTTCTTCGCAAGGTTGGTCAATAAAGAGACATCGTCAGAGGCCTCCATGGCATTAACTCTGCCGCGAACAGTGGGGGAAAGGTTGACCCAAAGGTGGCCTTGGCCAACATTGTTGACGAAGCCCACGTAGCTAGAACCAACCTTGAGGTTGTCGAAAGACAGCGGCTCGGAAGAGGCGCCCTCCTTGACATCGCTGGGCTTCGCGGACAGTTCGAGGACGGAGTGGCTGGATCGGTGGGAAATGGGCAGGAAGCGGTGGTTGCGAGCGTCATGGACGCCCAACACGCGGACAGGGACGACCTGATTGGGCTGGAATCTCTTCAACGGCTTCTTCGTATCCTTGATCTGCTCCCAGCTGTCGTACACCTGAGAAACATCAATACGACCCTGAATGTTATCAGCGAGCTGAACGTTGAGCTGGGTGTCCTTAACGGACACAACGCGAGCCTTGGTCAGCTTGCCAATGGAAATATCATCCAAAGTGGTGATGGATTCATCCACGGGGTTAGCGACCTTCTCGCCCTTGGTCTCGACCTTCTTAACCTGCTCCGCAGCACCGGGGATAGCAACAACCAGGCGATTAAGCTCGGTGTTAACCGAAGTGATCTTGACAGTAACAGACTGAGACTTGAACATGCCAAAGTCGGGTTTGTCCTGATCCTCGCGGGGAATCATAGACTTGGGAAGCAAGGCGGTCAACTTGCCACCGAACTGGACAAAGACAGCCGAAGCAGTGATGTTGCGAACATAACCAGAAACCTCATCTCCGACGCGAGCACCATCAAGGGTAGTAAGGAACTTGCCTTCCTTGCTAGCCTTGACAAGGCTGGGCTTCTGGGAGAGAATGATGGAACGGCGAGCCTCGTTCTTTTCCAAGATCACCAACTCGGCAAGAGTCTGGTTGACGTGAATTTTCTTGAGGGCAGACTGAGTCTTGCTGACCGACTTGTCCGTCAAGTGAGCGACGGGGAGGATGGCCTTGAGAGAGCTATCGGCAAGCTCAACAAAAACATCGTCGTCAGTTTTCTGCGTGACCTTAGCCGACACTACATCACCGATCTGAAGCTTCTTGAGGGCCAACTGCTTCTCAAGACCAAAGGCAGATGGGTCCTTGCAAGAAACAATAAGCTTGGCGGCATCGGGGTCGAAGCTGATGACGTAGATGCTGACAGTCTGGCCAACGCGGAAGTGCTCCTTGGGGTCCTGAATGTAAGCCTCGCTCATCTCAGAGACTGGCAAGAAACCACGGAGCCTGCCGTAGAACTGCACAATCGCACCATGCTGCAAGACGTTGATGATGGTACCGAGCGCCTGTTGGCCAACAGCAATTTGCTCATATGATTGGATGGCAGGAAGATCGGAATTGACGAGCGTCTTCTTGAGAGTAAGGCGGATCTGGCGAGAGGCAGCATCAGTCGAGAGCACACGCGCCTTCACCTTCAGGCCTTCCCTGAACTTCTTCTCGGGGTTTTGAAGGTGAACGTCAGCGAAGTGCATCTCGGGGACCAAGCCAGAGATACCGTCAGCAATCTTGACAATAAGGCCACCAACACCGGCGGCGTTGACCACCATCTTTTCAACCACACCAGAGACAACAGCACCGACAGGAATGTCCTCGATGCGAAGGAATGGCTGCTCGAGAACACTCTTCTCCAAGGAAATGAGATACATGCCATCAAAGGCGTTGTAGCCGACAACCCTACCAGCGTGAACAGATCCCACCTTATAGGGTCCGCTGTTCTCGAAGAGGGCATCAACCTTGCCATCCTTGACGCGGGAGATGTGCACAAACCCAGACACGCCCTCGACACCGACATCGACGTAAAGACCGATCTCAGGCTCGACCTGCTTGACGGTGCACTTCTCCACGATCGTCGAGTGAGGGAGAGCCTGCAATGGCACAACTGGTTGGTCGTCCTTGGAAGCAGTCTTTGGCTTCAACGAGGTAACGTGTTTTAGTACAGAGATACCCAGCTTGGGGTGCTTTGCAGTAGGGAAGTTGCAGATGACTCTGGCCTTCAGACGAGAGCCGACCTTGTATGTGTCTTCAAGATCGATGCCATCCGGACCAGCGCCAGAGTGAACCAGATCAGCGGTGACATCCAGCGATCCCATAATCTTGCCAACAATTCCGTGGCTGGAAACCTCGGACACGAGCACGTCGGCGGCAGTACCGGGGAGGAATGTGTCGATGGTGGTAGCAGTCGAAGGGACGTTCTCAACGTTGCCCATGGTTTCACCCAATGTGGACAACTGAACGACCTTGCCCTTGGCGTTCTTGGTGACGATACAGAGGAGGACGGCACCTGGCTGCAGAGCCTCCTGGGGGATGCTCTTGTCGACCTGCTTGCGAGCAAGGAAACCTTGCAACTTCGAATCGGCGATCTCAATGTCCATAACATAACCGTGGTCCTCCACACTGGCAATGGCGGCCATAACTGTGCTGTTCACAACAACGTCTTGCTCCGCCATACCGGTGTTGGCGAGAGAAGGTTGAAGGGAGAGTTCGATGTGGCGCTTGGCCTTTCCAGGGGTGTGTGTAGAAGCCTCGTCGACCGTGGATACAACGTAGGCGCGGACATACTGGCCGATCTGGAAGAGGGATTCGAGGTCAACGTCGTTGTCGTTCTCGTCTTCTGACTCTTCAGCATCGTCATTACCGGCGCTGGCCTCCAAGCGTTTTGTTAGGGGGGCGGAAATCGCAGTGATGGGGACATGGCCGATAATATTGTTGGGTAGAGCAACGGCGATGTCGAGAGAGTTGATGGCGCAGACGGAACCAAGGACCAAGGAGCCCTTTACCAGACGCTGCGGACAGTTAGTACTTGGATGATGGGACTGAACCCATGAGTGTTCCGGCGCATACCTTGAAGTTGAGACTTTCAACCTTGACGGCGTCCGCATCGGGCTTCGCGGGTGTGTCGTCGGACTTTGACCTCTTCTTGGACTTCTTCTGCTTGCCCTCCTTCTCACCAGCCTTCTTGGCGGTGGCCTTGCTGGATTGCTCCTCAAACAGGGCGTCGTTCTTGGCCTGGACTTGGATTTGCTTGTATTCGAGAGGTGTCAGGACGCTGGCGCCGCCTCTGGGGAACATTGGCTCCTCTTCCTTGAGCAGCGTAGATTTAGCCGGGGCGGTAGGAGCAGGAGGAGCGGGCTTGTCGGACTTGGGGGCCGGCTTGTTGCCCTGCTTGCCCGTCTTTGCGCCCGCCTTGCTGCCGGCATCGTTGGACTTTGGTCTCTTTGACGGTCTCGATTCGGAGGCTGATTGTGTTGATTTGTTGACTGGGGCGCCGCCCGGGCCTTCCTTGCGCTTTTGCGCACCCATTGTAAAATGATGGGTATAAAGAAAGGACCTGATGGATGGGCGGATTTGTTTGGAGTTGCAATTGGAGAGATACCCGCACTGGATCCCTCGTCCCTTTGCCCGCCTTCACACTTCAGAATGAATCGACAAGCACTGACAAAAACTGACCCAGGCCGCTTCCACTGTCCGCTGCCGAAAATTTTTGGTGGGTCCGTCGCCGTTCACCGTGGCCAGATAACGATAAGGAATGCGGTGAGCATCGGCTGCGATTCTGCCATCTCTACGCGGGCCGCGTGCATGTCGGTTCGTTGGGGGGTTCTGGAGTCTTGCGGGGTTCCCCTGTAGCGCCTGTCGGGAGTGCCACGGCGTCAGCTGACAGGACGCTGTCACGTTCATGGATGGCCAGGTACCGAACCTTTTGCACGGGCGGAGACGGGCAGCCAGCGGGTCAGCCGCATGCGTTGCAGGGAAGTACACGGTAAGTGTACCTAGGGTACTGAAGGCCGTTACCCTAGAGATAGAGGGGATTGCTGAGAACGTGCTATCAATGAGTTACCTACCTATTGGCCATTCCATGCGAGGTATAATTCTCCAAGGCGGGGTGTTCAACTGTCTAGAGGTACCTACACTTAACATGTCGTCTAATGTTAGGATCGTACGGTATTGGAATATCATTCTAGTCTGATGGAAGAATGAATTTGATACTACACTAGACCATTAAGTACTTCTGATAACATCAGCATTCGTTCACATGGTCCCCCTCTCCAGGTAAGTAAGTGTAGGTACCTCTACTTACACTACCTATCTGGTTCCCCTGGACTGTGCGCTACCTGGCAAATGACGTACATGCCCTCAAGCTGGAGCCTTTGATAATGGATGAAAGGAAGCGCTCCCTCCCCGCCGGCGGTACCTGCGTAGTGTAAGTAGAAGTACACATCGGATTTGTAGCCTGAGCGGTGCCTCGTCGGCTTGTCGACTTGTCCCTACGGTATAGGCGCCACGCAATACTCTTCGCATGCCCATTTTCGATCCTTTCAACTTGACGAAATAATAAACGGCAATGTGGCCAAAGTTCGCCCTATAATCTTAGGGGACTGGAATCTGTTGTTGGCCTTGCTCGCCATGGTCTTCACCATGGGTCGTCGAAAAAAGGCGAAACCAAACCCTCCGACCGAGCCGGCGGATGGTAGTGTTGTCACCGAGTCCTCAACGTCCACATCCGATATGCCGCCGAAATCGTCCTCGAGTCTAGCAGCCTCTATATGGCGTTCAAAAGCCGTTCCAACGCCGACCGCTTCGAACCCACCTTCGTCGACGACGACCTCGACACCTGATAATGCTCTATCAACATCCCAGCCCAATGCGACCGCAAATACAACTCCTATTTCGAGCAAGCGAGGGCTGAAAGAGGTAGCCTATCTTTCTTCCGCCACTATATCCAGCCTGTTCAATGTTACACCCGATGCTAACAGACTCGCAGCCCCAGAAATCTCGGAGTTGGTACAGCTCATGGCCACGCAAATCGACACCCTCAACACAAGTCGCCCGTGAAACAATCATGGGCGGAACACTCAGATCAAAAAAGCGAGCAGATTTTAGCCGTTTTGATACAGAAAGAAGCACGGATAGTGTCAGTCTCGATGGTGCAGCTTCGTCTTCGTCTCTCCCAAACATGTCACCCTCCGAGAACCTTGATGATAGGGGATCCACAGGCGGTGAGGTACCAAAGCCGGGGCCGGCAGTGGACGATAACGCTGCCAAGACCGACCAAGTCGCTGTTGGTACCACTGGCAGCAATGAAGCCGAGGATCGCCCATCACCAGACACCCAACAACAACAACAACAACAACAACAACAACCGGCATCAGACACAAATGGTATACACCAGCCTGCGGATTCACAGTCTACTACCACCGAACCACAGTCGGGAGAAACAGCTTCCTCCAGCTGGCTAGGGTGGCTAGGCCAATCTGCGTACTATTATTATCCAGTGTTAACTGCCTCCGTCCCGGTTCTGCCAAAGCTTAGCGAACCCAGGCCCAACGGGGGCGAACCTGAAGTACCTGAACCCCCCAAATCAACCGAGGAATCCTCAAACAATATGCCATCAGACGGAGATCCGCCAAAGGCCCCGGACGCTCAGGAGCCTACGTTACAGACTGCACCCCAAGAAAAGCCGACTTATAGCTATGGGAGTTATCTGTTTGGGTTTTGGCCAGGGAGTGGCACGACAGAAACAAAACAGACGGATTCAGCATTGTCAACGGGGGAGCCACAGGAGGGAGCAACAAGCCCGCCATCAAAGGATTCCGAGGACGTCGAGATGGAGGATGCGCCTGCAGTAGAGGCAGCTAAGCCGGCCCCAGCACAACAACCAAAATCAGGTTCTACCTGGGCGTTCTGGTACCGTGATTCAGGGTCGAATTCCCACATGAAAGATGGACAGAAAGAGGAAACTGGCCAGCTGGCTGTGGTGGGGGAAAGCTCAGAGTCCCACCCAAAGAACGCCAATGTGACCGAGCCCGAGACAGAGCCATCCAAGGAGCCATCACTGAAGTCGGTAAAGAAAGATGACCAACCGAGGGCGGCTACACCTCCATTGAAGGAAAATTCGTCGAATAAAGGGAAACGGGCAAGACCGCAATCCATGGTCGACGAACCCATTTCTCGCCCCGATACACCCAAGGTTGAGCCCATAGCGAAAGCTGAAGGAACACCCAAAGCTGGAACTTCCAAGAGTTCGAGTTCGCTCAAACTGCCGCCTCCTAACCTTGTCCTCCCATCATTCAAGAATGTGTATCGCATGAAAGAGAACCCTTCTATTGTCCGACAGATAAAAAACTACCTGCTATGGACGCAACAACCAGCGCCCAAGCATGTTAACATTGCCAGGGAGCCACCGAAGATCAAAAAGGCTATCGCGTTTGGAGTACACGGGTTGATCCCCACATACTATCTGCGTCCGATAACGGGACAACCAACGGGCACATCGATTAAATTCGCAAATCATGGCGCTGAAGCGATTAGAAGATGGGCCGAGAGTCACGGTTGCGGGGACTGTGAGATTGACAAGGTTGCTCTTGAGGGCGAGGGCAAGATTGACGAGCGTGTGGAAAACCTCTGGAAGCTGCTGTTGAACTGGATTGACAAGATCCGTCAGGCGGACGTTGTGATCATGGCATGCCATTCTCAGGGTGTTCCTGTTAGCATCATGCTGTTGGCGAAACTCTACGAGCTGGGTGTCATCTCTCCAACAGCCAAGGTCGGTGTTTGCGCTATGGCGGGTGTCTCTCTCGGCCCATTCCCGGATTACAAAACTGGGCTAGGTATCTTGATGGGATCTGCAGCTGAACTGTGGGAATTCGGAGATCCACAAAGCGAGGTATCCAAAAAGCTCGAAGCGGCTGTTAAAGCAGTATTGAACTACGGGGCTCGAATCACTTATATCGGCAGCATCGACGACCAGCTTGTCCCTCTGGAATCCGCCATATACGCTCCTGCCCATCACCCGTACATCTACCGGGCCGTATTCATCGATGGCCGGATCCATGCCCCTGACTTGTGAGTGACCATTGATACCCAACCATTTGGTGCTTTGCTTACACGGATAATTCTCAGCATTGCCCACCTAGTCGGCTTCGCACTGAAACTCCGAAACCTCGGCGTCACAGACCACGGCCTTATCCGTGAACTTTCCGTCCCTCTTGCTGGCAGCTTGTACACAGGCGATGGCCATTCTCGTCTTTACGACGATGAGCAAGTCTACGAGTACGTTGACCCCAACCTTCCTCCTCACCTTTCCCTTCTTCACTCCCCTTTCCAGTTTCCCTTCATTCACACCCCCCCTTTGACAATCTCACTAACCCCCATCCCCTCCAAACAGCCTAGCAATCTCCCACGCCCTAGAAACAACCGACGTCAGCCCTTCCCCCACCCGTCCCAACAGCAAATCCTCCATTCCCTGCGACATGGCCACCCGCCAACCTGGTACCCTCTCCAACCCGAACCCGTACCATCTACCCTGGATCATGCGCGGCCTGCTAGAAGAGGATTTTGTCAAGTCGGAGCTCTCGAATGAGGTGGAAGACTTACTCAAGCAGTTTGACGATTGGAAGCCGACGACCAAGGCGCTGAAAGATGTCAAGTATCGGTTGGAGGCCGTTAGGTCGAAGCTTTGAGGTTAGGTGATTCGGCGAGCATCGGATGAAATGAGGACGACATGTGGTCTCGGCAGTTGGAGAATGGGCGTGGGATATTTTGTTCGGCATCGGTTAGGGGTGATTGCTTACATAGATGAGAGGTGTTTGGGTATTTGGTATTGTGCCTTTTGGGACGATGGGAGTTGATATACAAGGATGGAGAACAGCACATTTACGTGTCCTCGGTTGTACACGCATTTCAACAAGGAGTTAAGAGGGTAGCGTTGCTTCTGGAGTAGGATGATGTTTGGGATATTTTATGGTTACCTTCCACTTGATTTGTACTTGCACTTTGGTGGTTGTGATTAAATCCGGATTGTAATATAGATAACGATACATTCGAGAAATCTACAACACCTGAGACAAAGGCCACAGCACAAATATGACTTTTGACTTTTTATATATTCAGAAAATCTTCATTGCTATCGTACAGTATGGTATGGAAAAGATGTACACATCTTGTATAACTCACCAAGAAAAGTTGCGATTGTACAGAGCAACCATCTAGCCTCTTCCCGATGCTCGTGGGGAACCTAAAACGCCTTTATCGTTCCGGTGTGTGCGTGTCGTTAAGTTCAATACAGCGCTCCTCTTACATAACTTTTCCACGCCCTATTCTTTTTTTTTTGTTTTCCCTTTACAAATGTTTACCGTCTACCAAGCTTCCACTGAGCAATTGTATCCTGGATCTGATCCCACCCCAGCTCCGTAGTCTTGAGTCCTTGCACCGTCGCCTCCTGCAGCACCACCGTTGGCGCACCGCTTCCCTGGCCGGCGTTATTCGCCATGCCACCGACCACGCGCTTAGCGACCCTTCGGAGGTCCTTGACCGTCAGCTCGTTGATACGGCGCGTCATCTCGCGGACCGGGATCTTGCGACCGTGAACCTGAACTTGGCGGCCCAGATCCTCGAGCTCGACCATGCGGCTCTCGAGGTTCATCAGGAGGCTGCTGCGGAGCTGGTTCTTGGCGCGCGAAACCTCGAGCTCGCCCAGGGCCGAGTAGCCATGGTCGGTGGTGAGGGCGTGCAGCTCGCGGCACATGACCTGGAGCATGGGCAGGGTGCGACCCGGGTAGCACGAGGCGGCGATGCCGAAGAGACCCGAGTCCGTGTATGAGTGGTTGAAGGCCACGCAGGACTCAACCCAGCCGTGCTGGTTGAGAACGTTGGTGTAGAGACGCGAGTACATGCCCTTGCCGGGACCGCCGGCGGAGAAGGAGCCGCCGCCGCCGAGGAGGGTCTGCAGGGTGGCGAGGGCGTAAATGTCGTCGTCTGAGATGGCGAGGCCCTCGAAGGCGAGCTGGATGTGGGTGAATGTAGGAAGGTTGGGGTTGAGCGGTGGGGGCTGTGGTGGGAGGGTGAGGAAACCGCCTGTGTAGTGAGCGGGCCGAGTCAAGTCTTCGGTGCTAATAGGTACCCGGGTGAGGAAGGGGTTGGGGGTGGCCTTCTTGGCCTTGGGAGAGAAAAGCTTGGAGAGCAGCCCGCCACTCGACTCGGAAGAGTCCGAGGAGGATGATGAAGATTCACTCGAGGCCTCGCTGGACTCGGACACTAGCGAGTCGACAGAGGTTTCGGAACCTGTCCTCGAGAGACCGGGAGCATCAGAGGCCTTCATATCACCAAAGTACTTCTCGGCGAGCTTGACGGCCTTCTCATGAGGCACACCAGCAAAGGCAACAACAAGGCGCTCGGGCCTGTAGAAAGCGTCGCGGTATGTTTGGATGACATCCCGGTTGATGTAATCTAACCTCTCCTTGGGACAAAGCAACGGGTTGCCAAGAGTGTTGTCCTTGAAGGCAGCCATATGCACCAACTCGGGCAGAATCAGTTCGGCCTTGGACCAGATCTCGTTGACCTCATATTGCGCCGTCATGATCTGTCCCTCCAGCTCCTCGTCCGTAAGCTTGGGATCGCGGATGGTCTCGGCCATGAGCTCAACAGCGGTGGGAATAGCCTTGTTGAAGGTGGCCGCCTGGTACATCATAGACTCGCGAGAAGAAGCGCACTGAATGTTACCACCGAGCTTCTCAACAGTTTCGAGCATTTCGTCCGCGGTCCTCGTACTTGTAGACTTGAAGGCTAGCCGGTCCATGATGTGACTGGCACCCCGGACATAGTCGTTTTCATATCGGGACCCCGCGTCGATGTAGACACCTACACCGGAGAAGGCATCAGGAAGGTCCTCGGAAGCGACACGGACACCATTGGAGAGAGTGGTGATGTTGTCGCGTTCGGTCGGTTCCTGGAGTCATAGTCAGTACTTGTGGGACTGCATCATGACCAGATTTTTGGGGCTCTTCAAACTTGGAGCATACCTTGGTGTTGACAGCAGCGGCTCTCGTAGCCAAAGTCCTGACATTGTTAACGGGCAAGGGACCTGCCCGCGCCCTCGTCAAGGGCAAGCATCTGGAGGATTGGGCTACTAGCCGCGCTGGCCGGAAGCGATTCAGCATGGCTGCAACAATTGTGATGCGGCAGCGTAATGTGGGTGGGTGGTCTACCTCGTCCGGTATAATGGCATTGCTCGATCGCGACTTCTGGGCACTTGGATGCAAATGCTGCCCGCCGTGCCGCCAGTGGCCACTCAGTGCCCGTTGCCGCCAGCGAAAACCTAATGCGGCACCACGGCAGCCCACCAGGCAGGGGCAGCTTAGGTAGGTAGGTTGTTGCCAGCCCACCACGGACAGTGCAGCGGGCGGCAGCAAGCGCGGCACCAGCAGGGCAGTGGAGGGCAGCGACGGGGAGGCAGCCCGGGGTACGCTTGTTCATCGGTCCAGCGAGCGTCAATGCGCAGCCAGGTGCAGGCAGTGTGCCAGAGCCCAACCAAACCTAGTCCAGAACCTCAATCCACATGCCCCACAACCCATCCCTGCAGCTGCCCTGCACAGGCGCCTTATCGATATGATCAACGTGCTTTGGCCAGGAAGGCTACGGCTCTACCGTGCGGAGCCCATGTCCACATGTGGGATGGCTCTCAGCGACTTGGCACGCAAGCACTTTTGGCTCTTTCCTCAGCTGAGCACTGTGGTACTTCTCGTCATTTCGGAGGTTCCTGCGGTCACGGTTGCTGCCGCGTGAGTGGTTGGAAGAATTCCATACACTCGATGGTTTTATCGATGGAGGTTTTAAGGGACCAAATACCTGTATGATGCTCTGGAGACGATTGTGCGGAAGTAGCCGCTCGCTAGGTGGTAGAGGTACTGTACGTACACGCCGTGAGTGGGTACTTTCTTCAGACGAGAGAGACTTGCATATCGACGACATGGCAGACAACGTCAGCAGATTACCTACAGATATCTACAGCCTCATGGTCTGAGGATTCGTGAGATGTCAAGCTTCGTTGAAGTAGAGTATCTGTAGTGTATAGGGGCACCTGAGCTGTCATATCCGATGTGCACCTGGCCTCATACCTATCAAGGTCAGGCTCCGTCTGTATAGCGACATGGCCGCATAGGGAAAGGTTAATCGCACCATGCCAGCCAAGCCCAACCCTTTGTGCTTTTTTTTTTTCAATCCATGCCTCATCTCCCACGCCAGACAGGAGCATCGATTCATCAGTATCTAGGAAGGCAGCTGAACCACACAAGTCAGCACCTATCCATACGTCCAACCCAGCAGTCATTGCACCACTACACCAAGGGCGATATCAAGGCTATCGTGGGCATCATAGACATTATGTATAGACAACGGTCGCATGTGGATGGATGGTCCGAGGGCCTCACGGTGCCCTGACGACCTGACGGGTACGTAGAGGTATGGATGGACTGGATGGATAACAAACGGACGGCATGTGCTCTAGTGTACACCCGGCGCACCCCACCCCCATTTATCCATCTATCATGCCCATTTCCACCTTGCCCGGATCGCTTTCGCTTGTCTGCTCCGGGGTCTCTGGCTTGGTCGGCACAGCTCGACAGGACCTGAGGCCTTGAGAATCGCCCCGATACTAGCAGAGGACCCCATCAGAGCCACCAGAGAGGACCCCCTTGGGCCTTGGAATCTGGCTTTGCCTGGGCTGGACTCCTGGTCAACTTCCAGGTTGTTTGGGTGGATGGTACGGATAACGGCTCTCTAGAGAAGAAAAACTAACACAATCCAAGCAGTTGCTTGACTTTTCACACGTCTTGACCTACTAACCTCCCCATATCTCTTTTTCTTTTTATCTTTAACAAACCTACCGCCGCCTCGCTGTTATTTCTTTTTTCTCCTTTTCCGGTCCCTGACTCGAGTGGTTCTGCCGTATATGCCAGTACCTACCTATTCCTCGTTCCGCCCCAACCTCTTGGTACCTTCTATTTGTTTATTAATTGGATAACAGTCACAAGTCCCTCCCCCCCCCCTTGCTTGTTGCCTCTACCGCTGGTTGAAATCAACTTGAAGAAGGAATCGATCCATCTGCACGCACAGCTGTCACCGGCACCTTCCTCTAAATGCCCTCCTATCGACCTTACCTTCCTTGAGTTGCCTGTTACTTGTAGAGGCATATGATGTTCACCCACTCGACCCCAGCGCCCGCATTTCCTGGCTTTGGGAGTGATTCGGTCGCTTCGCCAGGTGTTGCTGCCTCACCCACGTCCGCCGCCGCTGCCACTGGAAGCTCGGGCTCAACGTCGAGAACAAGCCGACTGCGCGGGCTGAGTTACCTCCGGAATTACACCCAAACTCACATCCTGTCGCGGGATCACTCTTCGCCCACGACGACCACGCCCAACTCGCCTGTCAACGCCTCGGGACATCATTCCGTGACCTTGGCTCTACACACCGACACCACCCACCAATCCGCCTCCAACCCGCAAGTCTCCAACTCGTCAAGCGGCACGGTCAGCAGCACCACCACCACGTCTGCTGGCCCTGGTTCGGGCCCCGAAGCCCCCACAGCCACAGCAGGTGCAAAAGCCGCCGCTAACAACAACAATAACACCGCCATCCCCAGCGCAAACAATCTCGTCTCCGCAGCTCGCAATCCGTCTCACCACGGCCGCGCCCATCACCAGAATTCCTCCTCTCTCTCCTCCATCCATATCCCCTTCATTTCCCGCGGCCACAGCGACCCTGCGCACCCCTCCCGACATTCGCCTTCGCTATCGACCAACGACGCGACTGTAAATCCCAACCACTCGGCCTCGGTGCGGTCCAATCGAACGCCCTTTTCTCTTCTCCCGCACCGTTCCCACTCCCTCACCGACGGCGTCGCTTCTGCATCTCTGGAGTCGCCTACTGTTACCTCGCCGACGACATCAGTACCTCCAGGGATAGCTTCTCCTTCGGATGACAACGGCATTCGGGTGGCTGCAGACACTCTTCACAGCAACAGCTCCTCCACGGGTAACATCATTAGTAATAACAATAACGCGGCCACCATGACCAGGGCTCGATCCGCGACTACAAGCGACATTGCGACCAGGGCTGAAACTGGTGGAAACATGGAGTCGCTTCCCTCGATACGTTTCAGCACCTTCTACGACCCTAGGGCGACACGCCCATCGCTTACCTTCTCTCCGATCTCACGCACTTTACCAACCGGAAAAGAAGTCATTCGCGTCGGCAGATATTCCGAAAGAGATAAACCTTCGGTGGTTCCGCATAATGTGCCCTCGGCAGCGCCCGTAGGATTCAAAAGCAAGGTCGTCAGCAGGCGGCATTGCGAGTTTTGGTATGAAGACGGAAAGTGGTTTATCAAAGATGTCAAAAGCAGTAGTGGGACCTTCCTCAACCACATACGCCTCAGTCCTCCAGGGACTGAATCCAAGCCCTTCCCCGTCAATGATGGCGATATCGTACAGTTGGGAATCGACTTCAAGGGAGGCGAGGAAATGATATTCCGCTGTGTCAAAATGAGGCTCGAGCTAAATCGTGGCTGGCAGGCCAAACTCAACGCCTTCAAGTTAGTATTTCATCGCTCGCCGTCTTGTTTTATGCTGCAGGCTCCTGAACCTGTCGTGCGTTCTCATTTAACATAGGTACTAACTGACACTTCTACAGCATGCAAACGCACAAGAGGCTTAGAAACATGACAGCCCAAAGTTCTGCGAATGGCGCTTCCCAGTCATACTCGCAAGACTGCTCGATCTGTCTTAATAGCATAGGGGTAAGTAACCCACAACCTTTCATCCCATCAGCTATTTTCTCATCTTGTTTCTGGTGACTAATCAAACCTTCGGATGACAGCCCTGCCAGTCCCTGTTTGTAGCCCCTTGCTCGCATACATGGCACTACAAGTGCATCCGATCATTGCTGTCGTCGCCATCTTATCCTCAGTTCATATGCCCTAATTGCCGTGCCGCTGCCGATCTTGAGGCTGAAGTTGACGATCCGGAGGATTGGGAGCAACTGGAGGCCGACGAACAGATGGAAGACGCCGTATACGTTCAAGATGAAAGTCAAGCCAGCTCCAACGACGCCCAAGCTCGACCGGCAGCGGTTACGTCGAGTCACCAACACGAAACAGACGCTAGCGGTGACGTGACGATGCTGTATTCGAACCCGCAACAGTCCGCTGTATCTAATCCTTTCGACGGGACTAGCCGTCCCGTGGTCTCGCATCACTCAACGTCGCAGCCAGTGCCCATTCGGCAGAACCCAGCTGCAGTCAATGGTCAAGCAGGTGAAGGTTTTCGAGATGCCGCCAGAACTCCGTCGCCCACTGGAATCGTTCACGCGGTTAGCACTCACGAGGGTCCGATCACACCACGTAACGACGTTGGGCCTTGGGTCTTTGATGGTGGCAGCACCACACGCACGCGAGCCAACGGAGAACCCGACAATGTTTCGAGACTAGCCAGTCTCGAAGCCGCAGTCGCAGGTGCTCACATCACTGGGGCCACTGGGAGTACATAGCCTCTGTTCCTGTCCCCGGTGATTTTAGTGTACATCAGCCCCCTTTTGCTTGGGCTTGTACAGCCTACGGTCCACTGTCTACGATCAACTCATCAGCCATCCAGCAGGCTATACACGACAGGCCCCCTATTGCATCGGCTAGTACGGTGGTCTAATGTCTGCGGTCTACAGACAGCTCAGCTACTCAGCAGGTGACATACGATGACACTCTGCTTAGCGTTCACTGCAGGGGGTGTTATTCTGTCTTCACCATCTCTCCTTCGTCGGTCTTGGTGGAGTGATTTTCTTTATACTATATGCTGTTGGTTGCGTCACTGTCGATAAGGATCATGGACGCTGGCATCCGAAGGAGTTTGGAGGTCTTTGTTGACTTGGAGAGGCAAAGGAAGAAGTATTTGCAGGTTTCCGCTTGAGGCAGATACGATACGGGACATTTGTCAGAAGCAAGAAGTATAAACAATTGTCCGGCTGCTCGATCTCTCTGCTCTGAACCTTGCAAGAGGAAAAGGCCAGAGCACAACAGCTAAACAGGCCAGGCAGCAGAGAGGCAACGTTGTTGAGTGGTCAAGTGAGAGTCAGAGGAAGAAACGATTTCATATCTTGTTGTTGAGTGGTGCGAGGAAACGTTGATAGTATGTAGACAGCGTCATCACCGTTTTTGTCTTGAGGAGTTTGTTGTGGGGAAAAGGAAGGCTCGATTCATTTTCTCGAATAGTACGAATCACGGGTTAGGCTGGCATTGTTGATTTCTGTCAGATCTACACAGCGATATCAACCATGGCGAAATAACGGGGCATAGCGATACCAGTTTACTTGGCGCTAGATAATATACATGTCGAAGTCTTGTTAACTTGAGTCTCAGATGGATTTTGATACTTCGCTCACGAATGAGCCTGACGTCGACGAGTGACATAGACGGAACAGAGGAAGATCTTCCTTCTACTCTCTTACCACGAAGCTGCCTCGTCCAAAAGCCATACCACTTCACTTGTATTCGATTCCTAGAGAGGGGGAACAAATGACCACAAACCACAAATGCCTGACCTAATTCGTAACCCTCATACCCTTCCATCAGCCAACCCCCCCCCCCCCCATATCATCTCCTAAAAACACTCTGCCCCAACCGTTCAATCTCTCTCCCCTCCTGCGTGCCCCTACCCGCCTCTTCCAGCAACCTCGCCCAAGCTTCCGCATCCTTGAATTTCACCGCCTCCTCAGCGGCCTTGACCCGCATCCCACACTTCTCGTACATGCCAATCGTCGCGCCCGGTTCCAGTCCACCAGAGGCCGCACACTTGGGGATGAAAGTCGCCGCCAGTCGCTGGTTGCCCGCCTGCAGCACTTGGGTGTAGAAAGGTTCCCAACCAATGGGTGACTTGCGGTTTTTAGAAGCGAGGTCTTCGATTTCGGACCAGTCGCGTTTGGAGACTAGGGCTTGGAGGCTGCGTGCGGTTGGTAGGTTCTAGTTAGTGATGGGTGAAAAACAAGGAAAGTAAAGGGGAAAGGAGAGGAAAATGATGGGCAAGTGAAGGAGACAAAAAAACATACCGAATCCACCAAGCAACCTTCTCAGTAACCTTGAACTCGCTCTGCACCTTCTTTGCTCTCCCATGGTACCCCAGTCTAATCAGCTTGAACACAGTCTGATTGACCGACAAGCCCGTGAACGTCTCCGGGTGCAAATCACGATCAAATGCCTCCTGCATCCTCAGCAGCGTCGTCGCCTCTTTGAGCGCCGAAAGCTCAAACGCGTTCTCCTTGGCATTGTCGGACAACAACTTGGCTGCTAGCGCTAGCTTGTCCGCTGCTGTTCGGGCCTCCGGCTGGCGTAAAGCTTCGCGCACAAAGACGTCGGAGCCATCGACGCGTCGGTCGTCTTGGTAGTAGAGGTCCTTCAACAAAGCTGTATCTTCGCAAGTGGTAGTGCCGCCGCTTCCGCTTTGGTTGTAGCTATGGCTGGCAGCGTGTTGACCTTCATCAACGTTACCGAGGACCACGCCGCCACCGAGACGCGCCGACGCCTCCACCAGCGCCGTGGCTGTCGGCCGGCTGCTGATGACCCGGAAAAAGGTGGCCAAAGGCAGCTTGCGCTTGAGCTGGTGCAGCACAAAGTAGACGAGGTCGGTGTCGCCGGACTCGATGGCCTTGTCGAGCGCGACTTCATCTTCTTCCATGCTGAGTAGCAGCGGTACCTGTCGGCCTGCGCGCGGTTCATGGTTGAGCAGTTCGGTCGCTAGACGACCACGGCCTTCGTCGTAGGCGGCCCGGGCGATGGCTTCGAAGGAGATACCCGGTTTGCCTGAGAGCTTATCGACGATCTTGCGACAAATGGTATCGTCGTCTTCGGCGCCGACGCGCACTTTGGCCGAGGCCCAGTGCACGTAGATCTTGTCGGTGGGGAGGCGGAGGTAGCCAGCGATCTTGAGGGCGAGGAGGTATTCGCGGCGGTTGAGCAGACGGGCAATCAAGCCCGAAGGAGAGAGGCGCTGGTATTGCTCGTAGGATAGGGGGAGGCCGATCTCGAAGAAGCGCACGGCATTGAGCACGCGGAGGGTCTCGCACATGTCGACGAAATCGTCACTGTTGTAAATATCGAGGACGGACTTGCCAAAGGAGGCGGCCTTCAGCAGCTGTTTTTGCCAGTGGATGCTGAATTCCTGGCCGGCGGCGTTGACGCACGTGTCGACGGCTTCGACGAGGTTGGACCGGATGAGCTGAATGTTATCGTCGGCTTTGGGTGACTGCATCTCGAGCTGTTCGACCGCGTCTAGCAAGATGGACGCGGGCGAGTCGGTGCCCAGACGGAAGACTTCCTCGATGACATCGGGAACCTTTTGCAGGAAATCGCAGGTGTCGTTGGCGAGAACGCGCACGCCGTCGAAGTCGGGGAGGATATGGATTCGGCCATTGTCGTAGTAGAACCTGGCTAGTGAACCCCCGGGCCCGACGAGCCGAACTTCATCCTCCCAGGCAACGACGACAGCATCGTTACCGCACCATTCGAAGTATTGTGGTGGGATCTTGGATTTGGAAACGTACTCGCTCAGACGAGTCTGGAAGTCGCTGCTGATGACGTGAGCCTTGCCAGTTTTTGTGTACAAGGCAACGAACTTGCCGTTTGGCGAAATGCTGATGTGTGAAAAGGGCCCAATATCGATGAAGCGGTCTTCGCACTCGCTGGCGTCAGAGACGTAGATTGTCTGGCCGATGCTCAGCAAGACCTCGACGGATCTCGACAGTGTGTAAGCAGGCGGAACGAGAGACCAGGAGTGGACTTGGCCTTCGGGAGGTTGTGCCAGGAGTTTGGGTCTCGGTTCATCATAAGCCGAGACTGATACGAGCGAGTTGTTGTTCAAGAGAGCAACAAGGCCGTGGCCGTAGAACTTGCATGACCGAACCCCGATCTCGTCGGCGTCGTGTCCAAGCGAAAACTGGGTGAAGTCGCCCTGGAGATCGTAGTAGCATCTCACGGTGCCGTCTCCCGTGACAACTAGAAGCTTCTCATCCTCGGACCAACCCAGGCCCTTGATGGACCCCTTGTCCCACGGAATGCGCCTGATGAGCTTCCCGGCACAGCTGTAGATGTCTATGCTCGGTTTGGAGGGCCTCCCTGCGGCGAAGGCTACCAGTTTCTCCTCATCACGGTATAGAGCTGTGAGGGCAGTGTCAGAGCATGACCTTTCTGGAACACGTCATCATCGAGTGGGATCACAAGGAAAACAATACCAACAGCTCCGCCGTAGGGGGCACCAGCAACAATGTAGTTGTCAAGGTCTAGGTCCGCATCAAAAACTTGGGTGTACAGTTGGGTCTTGCGGTAAAACTTTTCGCCAACCTGTTCCCATCCTGCTGTTGGATGAGGGACCTCCATCATATCATCATGTTTGCATATTTGGGAGTGAGTTGAGAGTGATGAGAATGAGCATGAGATCTCTACAGTAGGTAGTAAGGTACGAGATTCCGCATGTGGGGGAGGTGTTGTCGTTCCCAACAGGCTGCAACAGCCCCCCGGGCGGCTCAGGCTGCACTGCAGTGGGTGATACGCTAGCGGAGGTTCCTTGGATGACCTGGCAGGCGCACACAGTGGGATGCCATGGATGCCTCCCCCCTGCTCTTCAACGAAGTTGTCGTTGATCAGGCCTTGCCCGTGGAGTCACCGTGTGGGGACCGTACCTACCGTACCCAGTCCCCTTGTCAAGCCCCACAAGCCCCTCCATCATGAGCTCCTCCTCGGGTGCGCTAAAGACAAAGTTCCCGGTCCGACCAGCGTCGCTACCTTATGTTTGCATCATCACCATCCTCCGGCACAGGAACTTGAATCATGCCGGTTAATTTGTACCATCTCCCAACTTTTCGGAGCCTTATTCTTCTGACTTCCCGCTTCTTGATTATCTGAGCCCAGCTTCCCAGCCATCTGCTTCGGACCTTTTCTCCGCCGCAATCTAACAAAATGCCCGGCTGGCGCGACGAGTATCTTTCATCCCTCATGGATGCCGACCAGCGGAATCCCGTCAACCGAGAGCTTGTGGATACCTGTTAGTTGCTTGCCTCAGCCTTGCCCTCCTTCCTTGTCTTGTCTTCTTGTCTTGCCTTGCTTGTTCGAAGTCCCACCGCTCCCCTTTCATCCACTCTTCAAAACTTACCACCCAGCAAACATCATCCTGAACATGCAAGTACTCCAGGCCAGCAACTCTTCGACCGCATATCCGTACTCGAAGCCGAAAAGGCGGCCCTCCAACAGCAAGTCGAGACCTACCTATCATCCTCCTCGTCAAGTAGCGCCGCCGCCAACAAGCCCCGAGACCGAGACACCACCAAGACCGATGCCGTTGCCTCTGACTCGACAACAACTGCGCCGACCGCCGCCGACTCTGCCCTTCTCGCCCGCCTCCGTGTCGATCTCGCCGAAGCCCTCCGCGCCAAGGGCGACTTCCAGCGGAGGTTGAATGTAGTCGAGGAGGAGCTCGTCCGCTTGCGCACGAAGACGACAACCGACAACAAGACATTACAAACCTTGACGGCCGAGAGGAAGACATTGACCATCAAGCTCAGAGACCGGGAGGAGGAGCTGCGCGCCAAGAGCAAGATGCTGGCCGACGTTCAGGATGAACTGCAGGTGCTAAATACCCACTTGGATCTTGTCGAAAAGCGGCGCTCCGAGATGGAGGCGGAGAACAAGCAACTTGTAGCCCGCTTCATGAAGCGGGTCGGGCAAGAGGCGGAGGCCATGAACATGGCGAACGATTCGACGTCGGGTTCCGGTCATCGGTCATCTGGTTCCAGGAGAAGATAAAGGCCGGAAAGCAAGGAATTTCAGATTCGCGGATCCCAGCAGCGAGGGAGAGCATCACACAGCGCGATGCACATATGAACAACAAGAGGAGGGCAAAGATGGCTGTTTGAGAGCTTTGAAAAAGGTTCCATGATCCTTTTCGAGAACGCTGCCAGCACCCTGATCAAGGCAAAAGATACCAGAGGGAGATAGGCAGATGGTTTACAATGCTTTGGTCGGCACAGCGCGGGAGTTTCGGGTTTGGGTATCTTTGGTAATGAGCTTCGCAGCCAGCGTAGTATGACTACACCGGGACTGTTATAAAAGGTATGTATGTACACGATATAAAAACCCGGTATCCTCTCCCTTTCCCTTTTTACACTTCCCATCCCTTTCCCTTCCACCTATTTTCCGCATACATACTGCGTATATCAATCAATATGAAGAAACAAAGCCCATACAACGCGGATAACACAAGCTCGCTTTTCAGGCGCGCCATCCAGAAACCGCTATGCTAGAATAACAAGACACATCATAGGCGCATACTCTTGCAAATGTTTTGATCCAGATATCATCATCATGGTCCCAGGAGCCCTAAAGCAGGAAAGAGCTCGCTAACCTCCTCGTTTCCCCAATCCAGCGCAGCATTTACCCCCTGGCCGTTGCATCACCTCCGTGTCGAAATACAATATGTCCCGCTAGCGCCAGTCCAGCTGACATAGCCTTCAGGATACGTAAGGTGCTCGACATCTAGGATCGACGTGGCCACATCGTTCTCGGCGTTCTTGTTGTCGTGCACGAATGTCTTGAGCGAGATGATCTTGCATCCGATCTTCAGGTCCAGGAACATGCTGACAAGGTTGTCATTAAGCTGCGACGTGAAGGCCTGGTTGTTGACGAGCACCACATCGGCCCGCTTAAGCACCTCGAGGATCTTCTCGTTCTTACGGAAGTCCCCTCTTTCCAGGCGTACCTTGCCGGGCTTGACCCCCCACAGCCGGCAGCGGGCCAGGAACTCATCATACTGCGCCTCGGCCAGGTTACACGCATTCTCCATCATCTCGCAGCCCCAGCTCTCGCACCCAATCTCGAGCGCTGCCTGAAGCGTCACGTTGCCGACACCCGAGCCGAGATCGACAAACACCTTGTCCGAGGTCAGGTTGGTCCGCTCGAGAATGTCGGAGATGAAAGGGTGGTTTAGTTCGCCGTAAACGTTGTCGCTGCCGTTTTGGTACTTGGCCAAGAGCTCGACCCGTGGGGCGACGGTGCGGTCGTATACTTGGTCGAGGATGAAATCCACCAGCTCGCGCGGTATCCCGTGCATCTTGTCGAGGTTTCGGACAATGACGCCCTTGCGCATGAGCTTGAGGAATTCGTCGTTGTATTCGCGGAGGGCGGCTTTGAAGCCGGGGCCGTCGGATCGGTTTTTGCTCTTGACGAGCTTTCGGAGGATGCCTGTTTGATGGTCAAGAAAAATCTTGCCCTCTTCGTCTGTGAGATAGGTCGAGGCGGCTAATTGTACTACTTTTTCGATGTCCTTGACGGCATCGATCTTATCTTTGCCCTCTACTAGTTCGTACCTATGATGCGCACACGTGCTGAGTTAGCTTCATGCTCTTTGAGGGGGTTAAATAAGAGGAACAGAATCATAAAAGAGGACTACCCACCGTTCAGGATACCTGGCCCCAGGATACTGCAACCTCACAGCAACCTCCTCGTTCTTCAGCCCCAGCGCGGGCTTGCACTTGTGCTCCAGGCTCGCAACCTTGGCCGCATGTATAATTGCCGGGCCGGGTATCCGCTCCACCTGATCCGCATCCTCGCCCTTCCAGATCTTTGGGTGTCGCAACTTCCGGTTCACGTCAACGGGTCGCTCATCGTGTACCCGCTTGCGACGCTTGCGAGCGTCCAGGTTGTCCTCCCAGTTCTCGTCCCCGTTGCTGTCCGAATCCGAGTCTTCAGAAAAGTGCGGGCTGATGGGCGACCGGCTCGAGGCCTTGATTGCACGCCGCTTGCGGCTGCTCCGGCCGTCGCCGTTGATGGACGGGATGGGCGACGCGCTCTGTATCCGTCGTGCGGTCGGGATTGTGGTGACCTTGGTGAGGGAGGCGCGGGCGGAGGAGGAGGTAGAGGTGGTGTGGCTGGTTCCGTTGAGTCTGGGCGTGGAGGAGGCGCGCGACAGAGATGACCCCGCCCCCGCGATCCGGACGCTGGAGTGTTGTGAGGAACCGGTGGTGGGTATGCTCGAGGAGGACGTCGACGCTTTGAGTTTGGGACGCTCGACGGTCTCGCGGACGGTGCGGATCTCGGTCTTGATTTTGAACTTGGATTTTTGGTTGAAAATGCTCATGGCTCTTATCTTTTCCGCCTCCCGAGGTCGTCGTTCGTTCGCTTTGCGGGCCGGTGCTGATTCAGATTGACAGTATATGGGTTACTAATAACAAAATAAAGAGAGACAAGAAAGAGCGACGACGTATGACGACGAAGAGGGGCGTAAGGCGTAGAGAGAGAAACTAGTCGAGCTGTACGGAGTGGCTAAGTAGGTAAGGGTATCGATACGGCTTTTTTTTTGTTCTTGTGCTAAGGCAGCCGACGGAAGTGGGTTCAAAGATCGAGCTTCCGTTTCGTGGAGCAGGCTCAGCAGAGAAAAGGAAAGTATGGAACTGAATGGGGTCTCTTCGTTTCGGGAGGCCTGCGCCGAGAAAAGGCGCGGCGCGACGGAAAGGTGGACTCGCCCCGTTCTTAGTTCGGTGGGATTGTTCGGTGGGTATCCCGCCGCTGCGGAATCTCGTAAGCAGTGGAGGGAGAGTGGGTGGGTAGGGTGTTTTGGTGTCTTAGTACAACTCGCTCGCTACCTCTGTAGTTTATTGTAGATAATATGTCCGGATAGTCGAAAGGCTGAAACATGCAATGGGCGCTCTGAACCAAATCTATTGGGTATATGGCATGGCAAGGCTGGAGGACGCGCAGAGATGTATCTTCCTGCAGGTGGTGATCCAAGTGAAAGAAAAGGCAGAAAAAGTGGATAAGGTGACAGAACAAACAAAGAAAGAAAGATGAGCAAAAGTCAAAATGCAGGCTTCGGTCCACCATGCCGGGCCTGCCACTTCTTCCACTGTCGCTGCACAACGGAAACCCCAGGGGCAATGGACACTCACAGGCACTGCCTGCACCTGCACTCGCAGGAGAATTGCCTGGACTCCAAGATTCCCCAGGCGGGTGCGACGAGTGCGACCTTGCAACCCTGACCTTCCACTCGGCGTCCAATCCCGAGCCGCGCTGCTTGTTGGACACGGCGTGAGGCGAGTTGACAGCTGCAATATGTATCTCGCCGCAAGGCATGGCCAATCCTGCAAACCACAGTCCGATGCTGGTTTGCTTGTTAGCTCGGTACACTAGGTATGTACGTCTGATTGTGTACACCAGACCAAATCTCTCCCAAATAGTCCCAAAGCTTGCAAAGACATGTCAAAAAGGCTGGTTATAAATTACAAAGGTCTTCATGGGAGATGAGATAATATATTGAATATCGGAAATGGCGTTTCCAAGGTAATAACACACGTTAGTTGGCTATGAAGACGCATAGAAAAGTTGACACGAGGTCTCGAGCTAACAACTGAAACGAACCAGTACCTAGGTACTGGACTGTCGGCTGCAGCTGCTGCTGCCAGTCATTCGCTTTCTCCAGGCTTCCAGCTCTCCCTTGGCGCGCCGCTGGGTGGGTGGCGCGACGTCCACTTTTTTCAAATTCCCGGTCAGGGTCATGTGACTGTTTTGATCGAAGAGACTGCACGAACCATTTTTGTTGTTCCCGTCATTCCGTTCACCGAGGTGAGATGTAGGTCCGGGTCCTTCCCGCAGCCCTCACCGACGGCGGACTGTTGTCCAGGCCTCAGCGTCAAACCACTGTCTTCGAGTTCATATTAGTCAGGACGAGGATATACTGGGAAACGGTATAGGATATTGTATCCGATTGGCGACTTTGGTGATGTCCAATGCTAGTGCGTGATAGTAGTTGATTCAAGAACAACCATAACATTTGCCTTGTCGTTTTTCTGTGCGGTTGGTGTCGGAATTCTGTTGTTGGTTCCTGGGTGATAAATCCTACCTATAGATTCCCTTGCCGGGTGCGAAATGTGCAGTTCCTCAACTGCTTCACGATCGGTCGTGGATCCGGTAACCGGAGGATGAACGGATTTAAGCAGCAAGAGTGACAGCTTGAGGTTTTTGGAACGCCTTACAGCCCAGCCCTATCAGCTGCGCTTGGGGCCATGTCCATCCTACCTACCGATGGAAGCACTCGAATATCAGCCTTGGTGTACAAGTACGGTAGCCATAAAACAAAATTTGCTCACAGCCTCACAGTGGTCTTCCTACTCGTCATCACATGTGCACTCTTGCCAAGTAAAACAAAAACATAACGGGGGATCGATGATCACTATCAACAATCACAACCGTTCGTTGCCCATCCCATGTGTCGTGGCCGACAGCGGCCATTCGGGGTCGTCTTGGCAAATGTCATGCATTTAGTATCACAAAAACTGGCAACAGACGATGGGGGGTTCAAATACATGATGCAGGGTGGCTTGGAGGTTCGCCATTGTGTGGTGGTGAAGCTCAGTAATATTGGATTGCTTCAAGTTTTCCTGGGTCTCGGGCTTGTTTTGTTTCGTTTGATGATGCGCGTGAAGGTCCAATGGACGAGGTTGCATTGTGGCCCTATGGTGTCCAGACCGCGCCAGGCCTCGTAGAGGTACCCACAAGCCGACAGTCCCACATCTCGTGACGTCATGGACTGCGACTATCTCATGTGCTAAATTCCTGAACATAATCAAACTGAGGTTTGTTTGTAGCAGCGCACGGAATTGGCCCCCTTTTTGTGCTCGGTATGAGCCATGCCCTATCGAGATCTTTCCTATTCGAAGTTACGTCAAGCAAACTTATAATAACTTGTATACTTTGTCACGAGTTGGGAAAACAGAAGCTTTGACGCGAGTGAGCCCAAATTCTTCTTGATCAAAGAGGCCAATTGATGCTCAACATTTCACAAGTACATAGTGCGGCGGCCCACCGAGTGCTCCAGACGAGACAGAGGTGATCCTGACACCCACATGGTGCGAGACTCCATGCCGATATCAGGTAGCTCACTCGGATTTGTTTCGTCTTTTACTGGAGGAAAGCGAAAGTGTGGACGTTGGTGGGGGATAAATGGGATCTGGGGATGGGGGGTGGAAGCCAGCTTAAGTGTTGCCCTGGCTGTCCTGTCGAGGCAGAGCCGAGCATTGTATCACCAGGATGGCTGGCTACCGCAGAAGTAAACACAAACACAAGCGGGTGGCCTGATATCCTCGAGAGTGACAAAGACGGGAGGCATCTCATCTTGAGGCCGTCTGAACTGCCGTCTAATTAGCATGAGGGACTGATTCACACTGCCGACGTTGCGCAAGTGCTCCGTTTGTGTGCATTTCGGTGCAGCCACGGGGTGTGCCAGCCCCCTCACCTGGAAGGTCTTTGTCTCAAAAAGAACCAGAGATTTCGAAAAGGGTTGATGTGACGCACATATTGAATCGTAGTGCATCTCGTCAACCATGCTTGGCTTGGTCTGTCACTTCTGCTTGGATGAAGTCGAGCTCATCCCCCCCTGGCCGCCCAATTGGCGTCAAAACCCGTCGATATCTCAACCGATCGTCACGGTTACTACCCGAGTCCCAACTTTTCCATGGAGTGTCCCTTGAGCTTCACCCTTGTCTGGCAGTAAACTCCGTAAAATGGGCAGAGTGGATAACCATCTAGCTTGTTTACTAGCCCTTCTGGGATGTACATAGCAGATGTAAATGCGTGTTCCAAACAGGTAGAAAGTACTTGGGAGACTGGGCAAATTTGTCGAGCAAAGGTGGAAAGGAGGAAGTACACTAGAAGTGAAGGCATGGCAGCGATTCCCTCCCCTTAGATCCCTTTTTTCTTTTTTCTTTTTTTCTTTTTTTTTTTGGATTTCCCTTCTGCATCCCTGCCTTCACACACGTAGACCCCCCCTGCTTTTCCAATTCTCTTCTGCTTTACCTACCCCCCGGAAACAGGTCTGGGCTTTCTGCTTCCTCAAAGGCTGTCCAACCCCGATGTCTTGCGTGCCTTCCCTATGACGCATGCCATCCCTCCGTGCCGAAGGTTGCTCCCACGTCACTCGCGAAACAGAACCTGGCGTCAAGCATCACTGCAAGCAGGCTGCCCTCCCGGAAACGCACAGCTTTTGGTCCCTTCCTGCTATAAACCGACTTATACCCACCACCTGCCCCGTCTCACATTTCAACCCTTTCCCTACATCAACCTCGACTTGGACCTTTTGTCCATTAATACCAGTACCAAAACTGAAACATCACGATACCCGATACCCAATACCCGATATCCCCCCGCACTCGTCCGCGTCTAATCGTCGTTTGCTTTTCCAAGTTGAGGAACGATATTCGAACAGCCAGCATCCTACCCGTCTCACCTCACGGTTTTCCATTTTTTCAGTTTTTTTTCTTTTTTCAGTTTTCCTGTGATACCCAGCAAACGTACCCACAGACACCCTAATACCTTTGCGTGCCCTTTGGTTCCAGTTCTTTGATCAGTCAAGATGGCGACCGTCAACGGAAAAGCAAACGTCAACCGACCAGTTGATTCCAAGCAGAAGGAAGCCGATGTCAACCGCAAACTTCAGTTCTACGGAATCGCCAGCGCTTTCCAGTACGGGAAAGTTCCTTCGGTAAACACCCACCTTCAACGCAGTCGCAGTTGAGGTATAGGCCATGCTGACTGTTTCCTTGTAGAACGACCAAATCGATGTTGCGTTGAACAGCTTTCTCCAGTCCAAGGCGCTTGCGCACCCATCCAAGAAGCTCTCTCCAGAGGGACAGCAGCTCGTTGCCGATTTCAGGGAGGTTGTGAAAGAGGCCAAGAATCTCCTGCTCTCCAAGAATGAGGGAAACCTCCTCCAGGATTTCATTTGGCAGACACAGCAGTTCAACCCCAAGGCTGTCAGCCTCCCTAGTGCCCCTGTGGATAAGGAACAGGCCCAGCAGCATGGCAACCAGGCTCTCGAGGGATTGCGCACTTTGGGCACTCTCATTATCACCAACGGCCAGTTCCGCAAACTGCGTAAGTTGAATTTTCCAGCTTGGTTGTAGAGATTTACTCGATAAAAATGCTAACAAAAACCAGTCAAGGATGCCACCGTCTTGCTCCGTGATATCGCTGGCGATGCCGCTACCAATGCCGCCGCTCGCGTGAGGCCTTCCCAGGAGGACCTTCAGCAGCTTGATGCGCCCGCTCCTGATAATACTTGGCACGAGAAGCCTGATTTTTCCCGTGATCAGGTGAAGAGCAAGTTTAGCAACATTTACAAGGGAAACCCCAAGGAGGACGCCAAGCATGTCTTGGGCGAGGCCACCTCTGCTGCTCACCCTGATGGATCGGCCAACCCCAGAGATTTGGCCAACACCGCTGCTCATGATGGCCGCACTGGCGCCTCTTCCGGTATCGACGCTGAGAAGGGTCTCTCTTCTGCTGCCAACACGGCTCAGCGCAAGCTTGACCAGAACCTTGATGATGAGACCAAGGAGAAGGCCAAGAAGAAGAAGGAGGAGTACAAGGCCCGTACAAGGGAATACTTCAAGAAGAAGGTTCCTCAAGAGCGTCGCGAACAGACAATCTGGCGCTTGAAGGTATGTTTGTGACGAGAAGTGTCGATTCCAACTGACAAATTGCTAACATATTATGAAGAAAATGATCGTTGAAATCCAGCAGCACCCCGATTACCACCGTGCGATCACCACTTTGCTCAACATCGCCGAGGAGTACGGTAGCCACGCCAACAGACTTGCTCAGGGAGGCACTAGTACTGTGAAGGATACGCGTAACGCTTTGGCCCAGGCCGAGGGTGATCTCAAGACCCTTATTGAGCGCTTCGCCAACGGCACTTCCACTGATGATCTGTGGGCTTCCATCAAGACCATCTATGAGGATGCCGACAAAGATCCTGAGTTGAAGAACTGGTTCAAGGCCATGAACAGCTTCATTCGCCGCTGCCTCCAGGAGGAGGGTTACATCCTCGATGATGCTTCCAACGAGGAGTGGAACCGCCTTTACGACCAAGGCAACTACCTTCTCCGCAACAAGTATCGTGCCCACACCGATCGCGTTATCGATGAACTCAAGTTCTTGGCCGATCAGTTCGACCACGATCCCCAAAACAAGAGCTTTGCGGCGTCCCTGAACAAGTTGTTCACTGATCTTGGCAACGATGAGAACGGCAAGCCTACCTTCAAGCCCCATCTCGTCAAGGATCTGACCGACGTGGTCATCCCCGCCATGTTCGAGAATGTCGCTTACATTCCGGTTCCCCGTATCGAGTACTCCGATCACCAGATCGACGCTGTGATTGAGAACCTTGTCCTTGAGAGCGACAACTTCATGCCCAATGTCCTCGAAGTTGCTAGTGAAAACTACCTGCGCTTTGGTCGCAAGAAGATCGCCAACAAGAAGAATATGTCCGTTGACGTCAAAGTTGCCGGTATCCAAATGGATCTGCGCGATGTGAGCTACTACATCAAGCGGAAGCAGGGCTTCCCATCGCTCAGCGACACTGGTATTGCCAACATTTTGCTGGAGGGTGACGGCTTCACCTTCCGCATGAAGATGTCTTCGGCCGATGCTAAGGACAGGCAGAACTTTTTCAAGATTGACAAGGTGGATGTTGATGTCAAGCACTTCCGCATCAAGTTGATCAAGTCCAACCACAAGTTGCTTTTCAACCTCTTCAAGCCCATCATGCTCAAGGTTCTCCGTCCCGGTCTTCAGAAGGCTCTCGAGAAGGCCATTCGTGATCAGGCTACCAGACTTGACAGCATCCTGTACGAGATCAAGCAGGAGGCTGATAGGGCTCTTGACGAGGCTCGCGAAGATCCCGAGAAGACTCCCAATATCTACAAACGCTATGTCACAGCGGCACAGAAGAAGGTCCTCCAGGGCAAGCAGAAGGCCGAGGGCGCTGTTGCTGACAAGAAGATCAACTATGCTGTTACTAAGGAGGACAGCATCTTCCCCCACATCAGCCTTCCTGGCGGAATCAGCTCCAAGGCCACGGAGTACAAGGAGCTCGCTCGCAAAGGCGACAAGTGGGAGAGCCCCGTGTTCTCGATTGGTTCTGCTGGAAAGAGCCACGACATTCCCCCCGCCCCACGTGTTGTCCGCAAGCCGCACTCTACCACTGGCACCGGCACTAACGGTGCAGCCCACGGCACTGGCAACGGCCACGCGCTCCACGGTGGTCCTGGCATGAACGTCGGCAACGGTAGCTTGAACGTTGGCAACGATGGCCGGAACCTTCCCGGTGCCAACTACCTTCCTGGCGACCCTGCTGTAAGCGGTTTTGGAACGAAGAATGTCGGCAGCGCCCCTAACGGCCGCGTTCCTGTTGGTATTTGAAGACATGACGAGATGACGTTTCCTTGCAATGAACCTGGAAAGCTGGCTTTGCAAATTAATGATTGAATGCTGCTGAATATTGATAGGAGGAATTCTGAAAGGTACATGGTTTATACCCATTGCAATTTGATTGTCGGAGGAAGCAAGTCAAAAAGTACCCAAGGCGGAAGGAGAACGAAGGGATACCCAGAGACTGCGTAGCACGGTTCGATTGGCTTTACTGAGCACCTAATTTTTTGTAATACCTTGTTACCGGTTTATTAACCCCTCACTCCCTACGAAGCTTCAGGAAAAGGAAGATAGTCGATTAATCTCACTTGTCATGAAAAAACGTCCTGGTGTCCGTTGTGATGGTCGGTCGTTGTGCTCGTGTAAGTGTTAGTGCAAGAAAGTCAACAGTTGGGTTAGGGTTATGTACGGGTTTATCATAGTGCCAAGTGTTAGAGAAGGGCGATGCTGTAGCCTGGCCGCCCCTGTAATCCGCAGCACGTCATTCATAAATAGTGAACTCTGCTCCAGGCAACAACCGCGTCCTGAACAATGAACTGGATGAGAAAAAGAACCGACATACTGAATTCAGCTGTGCCCTTCAAGACTGTTCTGGTTCATTGAATTCCGGGACTTTTCTTTTCTGCCGCACTTTTTTGGCATTTGAATTGTTTCAACGCTCATCAATTCATGTTGGATGATTCGATACACCCGGACATGTCTTGAATCGCCTTGAAGATACAGCCATATAGGTAGCGAGTGTGCGAGGTCATTACATAGTGACGCCTTCACAATGAATACCAACAGGCGATCCCGATCACCAGATGAGGAGGCATTGGAAGAGGACCAACATCAGTACGGGGCAGGTACTCTAAGCCTAGAAGAACTTGATGAGCAGTGAGTTCATATCCCCAAGCAAATCCCAAGATATGTCCAGGCCACTCATCCAAGAATACAGCTTCCCTAACAGACCACGAAACCACTCCAAAACCTTCCCATTCTCTGACCTCTTTCGGACCCTCTTCAACCCTCTCATTGACTGCAAACCCTCAACCTCTGGGGGTACGGTGCGCGGCCCCAAACCAGGACGAGGCGGCCACTTCTCCAAGGTCTCCTACCATGAACAGCGCCGGCACATCATCGAGCGCTTCATGTCGCGCTGGCGGTCCGAAGTTGGCAACGATTTTTACCCGGCCATGCGCCTCATCCTCCCCGACAAGGACCGCGACCGCGGCGTGTATGGGTTGAAGGAGAACACCATCGGCAAGCTGCTGGTCAAAGTCATGAAGATTGATCGGAACTCGGAGGACGGGTATAACCTCATGCACTGGAAGCTGCCGGGGGGCCAGAGTGGGGTGAGCCGGTCTGTAGGTGACTTTGCGGGGCGCTGTTTTGAAGTGGTCAGCAAACGTGCGATGCGTGCTCAGCCGGGGGACTTGACGATTGCGGATGTTAATGTCCTGTTGGATCGCTTGGCGGCGGCAAGCGGGGAGGCCGAGCAGTTGCCGATTTTTGAGGAGTTTTATCGGCAGATGAATGCGGAGGAGATGATGTGGTTGGTGAGGATCATATTGAAGGATATGAGGGTGGGCGCCACGGAAAGGACGTTTCTGAACCTGTGGCATCCGGATGCCGAGGCGCTGTTTAGCGTTTCGTCGAGCTTGCGGAGGGTATGTTGGGAGCTGTTTGATCCAGAGTTTCGGCTGGAACAGCAGGAGACGGGGATTAAGCTGATGCAGTGCTTTCAGCCGCAGCTGGCGCAGTTTCAGATGACAACGACGTGGGAGAAGTTGGTGAAGAATCTGGGGGTGACGGAGGAGAACCCGGAGTTCTGGATAGAGGAAAAGTTGGATGGCGAGAGGATGCAGATGCATATGATAGAGGATGATACTGTGCCCGGAGGATTTCGGTTTGCCTTTTGGTCGAGAAAGGCGAAGGATTATACTTATCTCTATGGTGAGAGCTTGGGAGATGAGCAGTCCGCTCTGACGCGGCATCTTCACAAGGCCTTTGACGACGGTGTGCGGAATTTGATTCTCGACGGAGAGATGATTACCTGGGATATCGACATTGACAAGATGGTGCCCTTTGGAACGCTCAAGACGGCCGCGTTGGAACAACAGAAGAACCCATCTAAGGCTGGTCCTCGCCCGCTCTACCGTGTCTTCGATATTCTGCTGCTAAACGACAAGCCCCTTACCGAATACACCCTCAACGACCGGCGGAGAGCTCTCGAGCGTGCCGTCGTCGGTGTCCACCGCCGCTTGGAAATTCTTCCCTTCGAGCGAGCCACCTCCCCAGACGCCATTGAGCCACTCTTGCGACGAGTCGTGGCCGAAGCATCGGAGGGTCTTGTCCTCAAGAACCCACGCTCTCGCTATTCACTCAACAGCCGTAACAACGACTGGATCAAGGTTAAACCGGAGTACATGTCCGACTTTGGCGAATCGCTCGACTGTGTCGTGGTGGGCGGGTACTTTGGCTCCGGCCGGCGCGGCGGCACGCTCTCTTCCTTCCTCTGCGGTGTGCGCGTATCCCAGAACTTCATCAAAAGCGGCAATGCCAGCGCCGAGAAATGCCTCTCCTTCGTCAAAGTAGGCGGCGGTTTCAAAGCGGAGGACTACGCCGAAATCCGGCACCACACCGAAGGCAAATGGCAGGACTGGGACCCTTCCAGTCCACCAACGGAATACATCGAGCTCGGCGGCGGGGAAAAGTTACAGTACGAGAAGCCGGACGTGTGGATCCGACCCAGCGACTCGGTTGTCATCTCGGTCAAGGCCGCCAGCATCACACAATCGGACCAGTTCGCCATGGGCTGGACGCTGCGGTTTCCGCGCTTCCGCAAACTGCGGCTGGATCGCGCGTGGGACTCGGCGCTGGACATGGACGAGTTCGAAGTGTTGAGATCCAAAATCAAGGACCAGGAAAAGGAGCGGAAAAAGATGGAGATGGAGAACCGCAAGCGGAAACCGGCGACCAAGCGCGCGAGGAAGGACCTAGTTATTGCGGGGATGTCTGATCCTTCGTCTTCTTCTGCTGCTACACCCGTCATCGCCCCGAAAGAGACAAGAGAAGCGAGCAGACGGTTGTTCGAAGGCTTGGACTTTTGCGTCCTTTCGGATTCTTTAAAACCAAACAAAATGGCTAAACCGGCTTTGGAGAAACTCATCAAAGACCACGGTGGTCGTATTCATCAGCAGGTTATGGACCACTCCGGTCAGGGGAAGATCATCATCCCCATAGCAGATAAGAACGTGATCAAAGTGGCTAGTCTGAGGAAGGCCAACCCGGAGATGGATATCATCCGGCCTAAATGGATTTTTGACTGTCTTGTGCAGCCAATGCCGTTCACGAAACAAAAAGAAAACAAGAAGGGCTATCTCCTCCCCTTTGAACCCACCCACCTCTTCCACTCCGGCAGCGAAGAGACGTCAGAAGAAGCGGACCAAGCAGTGGATAAATTTGGCGATAGCTACGCCGGGGACTTGGCAGAAATAAACGAGCTGAAGGCGATCATGGAGGGTATGGAGTCCGATGATTATGCATTCGATTCTGACTGGGATTCGGACTCTGGCAGAGGAAGAGGAAGAGGCGACGGATTTGACCTGGATCATTTCCTAGATCACTTGGAAGAGCAAGGGACTTCGTTGGATGAGCTACGGTCGTTCATGTTCCGGAGGTGTCGGGTTTTCTTTGCTTTACCTAGTGTTGGTAACGGAGACGGGGCAGCAGAAAGCAAAGCCTTAAGACTGAAGAACTATATACGATTTGGGAACGGGAAGGTAGTTGACGAGCTGGAGACGGCGACGCATGTGGTTATTGTTACTGCTTCTTCCGAGGAGAGTTCAAAGAAGGAGGAGAGAGAAATGGCGGCGGAGATAAGGTATAAGATTGGCTTGAGAGAGGTGGGGAATCCAGTGCCAAGGATTGTGAACGGGGAATGGGTGGAGGACTCATGGAAGGAGGCGACGGTGGTTGATGAGGAAGAGTATGTGGCTGGGTGAACTCGATGTCTACTGTCTGCTGTGTAGGTGGTGTCTGAGGTTCTTTTGATGTGATCTTGGGGTTGACGGGGTAATGGATGATATCATTGCCAGGTTACTGCCTTCATAAGCTCGAAATGGCACAAAAGGGTGTCTGCTAACTGGTTTGGTTGATATAGGGTGATAGTTTACCATGGAAACCAACCTTGTTTGTTTACCCTTTGCAAGTCACCACGCTCAAGGCGACTGTCTTGAAGGTTGCTTTGGGGCCGATTTGTTGTCTGCTTTTCCTTCTGCTCAGGAGACGTTTCGACTTCACTTTGCTAAACCTGGACATTAACCGTCCATGTTGGACAAAGGTACCCCTTTCTGTTTATTTTTGCGCTATTTGGTTGTCTATCCCTTCTCCTTCTGACCCACCTCCTCTTGAGGACAGAGGAGTTGCTGTTGTCATATCCCTTTTCTTAGGCCCTTGGGGCTGTTAATCTGTCATTTGGTCAAAATCCAACGTCTCTGCTCTCATGACCATCTATGCTTAACTCCCGCTTGTCTTGGTATGTTGAGTTCTTTCTCGCGTTGTAGTTGTGCTTTTTTAACCGTGGTACGGTGAATAGTTTCTGCATGAATTTCTGTGGAGGTCCCATCCCTTGTGAATCTGCTTGTGGAAGGAGAAGTGGAAGTTATGGCTGACAACATCCATCTGAACTTTTGATGGACTGCTTTATATGGGCTGTTGGAGGGAAGCAGAAGGACTGGCAACAACCGGCTGGATATTGCGTCTCTTGAGCAATGCTCAACAGAAGATTTTGGAAGAGTGGCCCAGAAACGTATCTCGCGATTGAGTATGATACAACCAAGAATCCTTCAGAGATAGCTACAAGGTAATTGGCCGAAGCATATCGACACTATTACCGAGTGTCTTTGGGCTGGTGAGGCTTTGAAATCGCAGACAAGACTCAATTTCAAGCTAAATGCGCATAATGGTTGGTCAGGAGTGGGTGTGTACAAGTTCCAGTGTTGTTCTTGCTGGTTGGGATAGTGTTCCCAAGACGAGTGACGAGTTCTTGGAACACACTCGAAATTCCACACGTAACCCATTATCAACTGCTACATGAAATTCTTCAAAACACATCTTTACTGGCATATCTGAATTCTCCATGCCCAGTTTCCCCCAAGTCAAACCCTACAATGGTCACTACCAGTCTTGGGGCCAAAGCTTGGCATCTGATTACGTTTTAACATCGGAGAAACACTCGGAATTTTGAAAATATTTTACGCGAAACTTTCAAAGATACCTGACATAGACAGAATTGGCATGTCAAAGAGAAGAGGAGAGACCAACCTTAAGTTCGTTGAGGGTTGTTTTTGTTGGTGATATAAAGAAAAAGAGGGTGGGTACGTAATTGCTTTGGGGGAAACCGTCCACGAAAAATCCTCCACTGCTGCCACTTCTTGCACCAATTTCCTGAAGTACTAAGGGCATATTAACATTAGATGTGCCTCTGCGGCAGAGAAGTTGGCTTTGTGCGTGATACTGATACCGGCAGCTCTACCGAAAGCTGCTGCGGATCCGGAGGAAGATGTCACAGTGTGATGCCATGGCCGAAATCCTATACCACAATAACGTTTTATGTATTGGAAAATTCCCCGTGTTGGGGATCACGTCCAGGTAGTCCTGATTCATCACTCCAGATCGTATCTAGATTTTAACTGTCACTAGTCAAGACCGAGATTCGGCTGGCATCCATGGTGTCCTGGCCAGCAAGACCCAGGCCGGGGGCCAGGCGACAGTGTTTTCGGTCTACATGTAAACAAACCTCCCAAGTCATCGCTCACTTCATTTTCAACATCATACCACCGGCCCAGTATTTTAACCTCTACTTACCGCCCCACGCGAGGTACCTTCCACTCTACCTCTTTGCGCAGACCCTCCTTGCTGCCAAGCTTAACCTATTGTAAACCTTATTCAATCAACTGTCCCTTGGTCCGCACAATACCAACACCTTCACTGAAACCAAATACCCCGCCCCCTTTTTGGTGTTTTCTTATTCTGGAAAATCGTCAATAAGTTCGTACCTCTCACAGATTTCCCCCTCGGCCTTTTAAAAGCTTTCCCCAACCATCACCAGCAACTCACTCGCAACAATCGCTTTCTATCTTACCAGACTTGGATCAACCCATTTTGCACTTCTATCGTCTTCGGCATCTAGTTCTCTTCACGAAGAGAAGCTCAAAGCAACTATCTGCTACTACAACTCTCACGTAACGCACCAACACAGCACATCACCGTTCTCTCAACGACACCATGGATCAGACTGCGTCCAATAAATCCGCCACCATGGACAGGACCGCCCTCAAGAAATGGTAAGCCATGCTCAACACGTGTTTCCTTTCACATCCGTAGCAGACAACCGTCCCTTGTCAACGTGGTATTGATTTCTAGCATCCAAACCACAATCATCCACTTCTTCAAACACCGGCAGCCACGCGCTTCTTTCCCTTTAACCCCTCTCTTTCATCATGGGATGTCCTGACCTACCTGACATCTCGCTAACTCATCACCCTCGTAGTATTCTCGCCATTGACCTTGGCAGCACCGCGCTCCGTGCCGCTTTTGTCGAGTGCGAAGCGCCTTACACTTTCCATCCTGTTCAAAACAGAGATGTACAAGCCAATAAAGACGCAGGCGCAGCTGTCACGTGTAGGGGTGACTTTCCTGTCTCTTGCTGCCCCCTCGACCCCAGCGATCCCTTTGCCAGGATCGGGGCCGACGCCGCCTCCGAGCCTGGCCATGTATCCGCCAAGTACCTGATGTACATCCTCGCCAACGTTGATGAGTCCGTCATGGCCGATTATCCTCTCTCAGCAGACCTGATGGCCCTTAAAGAGGATACACAGCTCCGTGAAGACTGCCGAACCATCTTAGCCATACTGTTTGGACGTCTGAAAGAGCGCGTGGACGATTACACCAAGAGAAAACATATGTTTTTCGACGAAATCATCCTGACCGTTCCCAGCCAGTGGGACGCACGTTTCGAAAATGTTTACGAGTCTATTATCACGGAAACTTTCACCTATCGTAACGAAGAGGGCCAGAAGATTAAGAAGGACGTCCACTTCTGTGGTGAGGCTGATGCGTTAGCGCGATATATCATTCTTCACGAGGAAAGGGAGCTCGAAGACTGGGATGTTGTCCTCTTCCTCGACTTTGGAGGCCACTCCATGTCTTTTGCCACCATGGAACTGAAGAGAACCAAGAGCACTGGAGGCTCTGGCAACTCTAGTATGACCTTTCTGGAGCTGGACTCTGGCGGCTGTGCCGGTGGAAGCGAGATGTGGTCTCACCAAGTTGGCCAGTTGATTAGCGAAAAGCTTGCGGAGACTGAAGTGGCAGATACCGATGAAAGGAAGAAGTTTAAACTACTTGGTGATTTCAACACCAAGAAAATTGGCTTTCTGGATCAAATTACGGCGGGTAGTCTTCTCCCCCTTGTTTGCTTCGATGAACATGCTACCCTCACCACTGTCAGTCTACCACACGAGGAAATTGAGCACTGCTTCGACACGGCGCTTGAGAGACCATTCGCAATGGCCAAAGAGCAGCTCAGGAAGTTGAAGGGTTATAGCGGAGACAAGAAAATCGGCGTGGTGGTAGCCGGAGGAACTCTCCAGAGCAACAAAGCAAGGGAAGCAGTCTTTGCCGACTGCGATATCCCGGAAGAACGAATCAAGTATACGACCGAGATCGATGTCACTTGGCTTTCATCGTGCAACTGTCACGGCGCAGCATTGGCCCATGTGAAGAAGCTGACGGTAGCCCAGTTTTTCGAGCAGGGCGCAGTGATTGCTCTTCAGCAGAAGGTTGGGCCTGTACACGACGCTGAATGGGAGGATGTCGCATATCTCTTGGTCGGACATGATAAAAAGCATACGGCGAGCGTGTATAACAGATATACGGGCACGGAGATGAAGCTTGTCTGCAACCCCAACTATACTCAGGAGGTTGCGACAGACAAAAACAAGAATGGCAACGTCGGCGAAGCTGGAGCAAGTGCTGGTTCAGCCAGAAACGCGACAGACAACAGCGATTTAAACCCTAACACCAATGTTCTCATCCCAATCGGGGATTGCTACGACCTGTGGCACCTTGGCTCTCACTTGGCTGGAAGACTTGTGGTCGAGGCATCCTTGACCTCACCAAGCGATGCTGCATCTTCTGAGAGGACTCTCCATGTTTCCATCAGCCGCAAAAATCAGCGAGCTGCTTCAGGAGATAAGGTTGAAGACCTCCCCCTATTCCTCGATCCCGGACACAACGCTGTCCATGTAGATGTTGACGCACTCGGCCCTGAGGCGGCCAACCGGCAAGCGGCGTTGAGGCAGCGTGAAGAAGAGCGTACCCGACCTGAAAAGAAGACAGCAGAGGCTCCAGCTGAGCAAGGCTCTGTAGTCAGGCCTGGCAGTTCTTCTAAGTCGGCTACAGCAAAGGCATCTAGGAACAAGCGGAAACGGAAGGACACAAATGCTGCTCCTGCTCAGCCCAGCAAAAGGCCGCGAACCCGTGCCGAACGTGCAGCTGTTGCCCAAACATCAGCTGATGATGAGTTGAAGCAACTTCCCTACTACGCCCCCCCTGTGTCGCGCAAAAGGAAAGCGACTGCCCCTGCTTCTTCCACAGCAACGAAGAAAGCACGAATTGCTACCACCACCCCCCAGGCCAAAATCAACAGTAATTCTGACAACCAGTCAGACCAAGTCCTCCAAGGGCAGCCCCAAGGGCAATCCTCTAACCATGATGTGTCCCGGCACAACGACGAGGACACACATGCCCATATTGATGACCAGCTCGACAATGAGCTGGATCAAAACCATGATCTTGCCGTCACAGCGAGCGGCCCACCCCTTTCCCCTGAGCGCAACAGCTCCAACAACAACCTCAACATCAACGGCAGCACCTCCCGTTCCACTCGAAACCGAACCGCCGCGAACGCCAGGGGGGCCATGGCGACAAGGGCTAGGTC